TGGCTATTTGATGGATTATAAATGTTTGTCATTGTTTTGTTTTTTGTTTTTTGTTTTTTACGAGACAGGGTTTCTCTGTATTGTTTTGGAGGCTATCAGTCCAGCCTGGCCTCGAACTCACAGAGATCCACCTGTCTCTGCCTCCCGAGTACTGGGATTAAAGGCGTGCGCCACCACCGCCCAGCATGTTTGTCATTGTTTAGGGGGGTTGGTTACAAGTTGTTATTGGTTATAGTTAGGAAAAAGCTAAACAAAAGAGTTAAATTCAAAGATCTCTTTCTAAAGGAAAAAGGGGGAATATGATATGGAAATCTACTTTAATACAAAACACAACTATTAATCTCAAAATATTATATGTTGCTTCAGATTTTCATTTATTGATAAAAATTTAAAGTTAATTTTGTTATACTGAATGTATGTCTCTACTCTTACTTGGGGTATTATGCTTATAGAACTCATTTTAAAACGTAATGTGTAATTAAAGATACAGGTTAGGGGCTGGAGAGATGGCTCAGTGGTTAAGAGCACTGGCTGCTCTTCCAGAGGTCCTGAGTTCAATTCCCAGCAGCCACATGGTGGCTCACAACCATCTGTAATGAGATCTGACGCCCTCTTCTGGTATGTGCAGACATACATGGAGGCAGGATGTTGTATTCATAATAAATAAATAAATCTAAAAAAAAAAGATACAGGTTAGTAGTAGTCATCTAATAATCAACTTATAGTCATGTTAGGTATGCTTTCAAGGTCATACACAAATTATATTTAGATAGGCAGATGGTCTTCAAACACTTCAAAGAAGTGGCATTTAATATGTTTAATAATATGTGGCTTTTGGGCTGGAGAGGTGGCTCAGCGGCTAAGAGCACTGACTGTTCTTCCAGAAGACCCCAGGTTCAATTCCCAGCAACCACATGGTGGCTCACAACCACCTTGAATTAGATCTGGTGCCCTCTGCTGGCATGCAGGCAGAAGATTGTATTGCAAATAAAGTTCCATTAGGTAAGTATTTAAAAAAAATAATATATGACTTTCTATGACAATGAGACTCTTGTCTGCTCCTGGCAGCACCAATTTACTTCAGAGAAGATGATAGGAATCAAAATAAAATACAAAAAAACTCCCTATGTATGTAGTTTACTTTCTTTGTAGCAAAAGCTAGCCAATCAAGCAAAGAAACTGCCCTCGCCTCGCCTCAACTGCTGACGTATGCCATCCAAACTGGATCAGCAGGATGCAAAGAAAACAGCTGCCAATCTTTGCCAAGACAAGGTAGGCCAGCCCTTCAAAGTCCCGTGCTTCTCAGAAATGTCTGTCAGATATACTAGGCCTGTAGGCTAGAGTTAGATGCCCCAACATTACAGGCAGCCATTAATCCCTGTCATTAGATAACATTAAACTCTTCTGGGGTCTTTGAGGGAATTAAAGACTAAATAATTAGATTTAAAGTTTTCCTTAGTTATGATAAAAGCTAAATTAGATATAAAATTTGAGACTCACAAAGATAAAGTAAGTAATGAGATACTTTCTCTAATGTTGCCAAATACAAATGGAGTGGATATTGTAACTGTAATTCTTACTTGATAACTGCTTTTGTGGTATATAATTTTACTATGTTAAAGTTAAAACCTTCCTTTTTAATTAGACAAAAGAGGGGAAATGCTGTGGAATAAGCACTGTTAAGATGTGCTGTTCTCATTGTTAATAAAGAGCTGATTGGGAGCTGGAGAGATGGCTCAGAGGTTAAGAGCATTGGCTGCTCTTCCAGAGATCCTGAGTTCAATTCCCAGCAACCACATGGTGGCTCACAACCATCTGAAATGAGATCTGGTGCCTTCTTCTGACCTGAAGGAATATATACAGGGAGAACACAGTATACATAATAAATAAATAAATAAATCTTTTTTTAAAAAGCTGATTGGTCGATAACTAGGCAAGATTTTCAGGGCAGAGAGAATGCTGGGGAGAAGAACAGTAGAGTGACCAGAAATGTCCTAAGACGCCGCAGGAGCAGGATGGGAAGTATATCCATGAGGTAAAGGAGTCTCAGGGCACCGCGTAGATAAACAGAAATTGGTTAGGTTATTAAGAGCTAGCTAAAAATGAGCCTAAGCTATTGGCTGAACATTTATATTTAATAATAAGTCTTGTGTGATTACTCGGAGCAGCTGCCAGGACACGGAGAAACACTGCCTACACTCCCTGGAAAGCGGTGCCGGGAACAATTGGAAGGGGGTAGAAACTTCAGGAGAGACCTAGAAGGGACTACATCACTGGGGTACCTGAAGGGCATGCTGGGACTGCTGGTCTTCTCCCTCTGCATCACGGACAAGCAACTCTGTGCACACACACTTGCTACCATGACATCCTGTGTCACCACAGGCCTAGACTAACAGGGTCAAGGGATCTCACACTGAATCCTGTGAAACTGGAGCCAGCACCAAACCCTTCCCTCCTCCTTTGAAACGGCTTAGCTTAGTATAGACCTTTTGTCAATGCAGTGGAAAGCTATAGCAGGCAGAAACAGAACTTACTGGCTCCAAGATACAAACAAAGCTTCCTAAGTAAAATTTAAACATGCAAAGGAGAGCGTCATGACAACTACCCAAGCACAGCAAATAGGTTTGACAAGCCGAGGTGAGGACATTTCCAGAAGTGAATATCTAACAGGCTTGAAGAGGTTGAGGCCATTTGGTCACACTCACTGTACTGCCAAGAAGCTATTACTGAAAAGACCCTGCCGGGCGTTGGTGGCCACGCCTTTGATACCAGCACCAGGGAGGCAGAGGCAGGCAGATCTCTGTGAGTTCGAGGCCAGCCTGGTCTACAGAGCAAGTTCCGGGACAGCCTCCAAAGCAATACAGAGAAATCCTGTCTCGAATCCACCCCCAAAAAAAAGAAAGGAAGGAAGGAAGGAAAGAAAGAAAGAAAGAAAGAAAGAAAGACCCAACTTCTGCCCTCTCTCCAGACGTGCTTCCCACTGAAGGCTCACAGGTCAAGAAAGTGGAGAAAGTTGGCAGGCAAAGAATGGACTGCGTTTCGGGACAGGAAAAATCAACAGCTCCTGTCAATTTGTCTGGAGGACAAAGAAGCAGTACTTATAACCCTTTCTTCATTTAGCCCCTGGTGGAGTCTAAACTACATTAAGAGCCCGTTTTCCCTCTCTGCTCTGATGTACCCAGACAGTACTGGTTAGAAACAACAGATTCTCAGCAAAGGGACTGGTTATGCCAAGGTAAATGGGAGCCAGCAGATATTGTAATGAATCCCTCCTCTCCCAAAATTCAGCAAGTAAAACACCTTTTCTGCTACCCTTAGAAATGAATCAACAAGCCGGGCGGTGGTGGCGCACGCCTTTAATCCCAGCACTCGGGAGGCAGAGGCAGGCGGATCTCTGTGAGTTTGAGGCCGGGCTGGACCGACAGCCTCCAAAACAATACAGAGAAACCCTATCTCGTAACCCCCCCCCCAAAAAAGTGAATCAACAAATGCAATACATAATTAATTATATTAATGGCTAATTCGCTCAGGTATAGTAGATAACAGTAAAGCAAATTATTTTGGATCTGGATCAGGTTAAACACAGGGGCCCCCTCCTGGATACTCATGGAGTAGTGGGGGGTGGGGTGGAGGAGTGGACTCGTGTATTCTTAAACTGTTACTTACTCCGGGGATGTGTGCACAGGCCATGGCTCACACATGAGGGTCAGAGAGCAACTCTGTGGTGTTTCACCTTTCTGTTTGCTTGTTTGTTTTTGAGACAGGGTTTCTCTGTGACTTCGGAGCCTCTGGACCAGGCTGGTCTTGAACTCAGAATCTTCCTGCCTCTGCCTCCCCGGAGCTGGGATCAAAGGCATGCGCCACTACCGCCCAGGTCTTCTGCCACCTCCTCTGGGGACTCCCGGGATGGAATTTAGGTCATGCTTTCATGGCCAGGCACTTACCTGCCAAGCTATGCTGCCAGCCAAAAGTTGTATTTGGGAGCAAAGTCTTGCTCAGTTGCTTTTTTTCAGTCCTGATTTGCTTTCAGTAAATTTCTATAGAACCTGGATACTTGCTCCAAATATGATCCTTGCTGAGAACTCCCAGAGCTCTCCTTAGGGCCACGGAGGACTTCACATGGGGGCAGCCTGAGACAGCAGGTCAGCTCCCATGGGTCCTCAAGACTAAGCTGCAAGAAGTTCTCATAAGCAAGTACCCTGCAACTCTCCTCACTTGGCAACAAGGGCCAAAGGCTGACCTCCCGTCCTGTCCTTCTACCAAAAGCGGCTGCTGTGGGAGCGGCTCCTGGTCTTCTCTTGTCTAGCCCCACCCACCGCAGGCAAAGCCCGTCTTCACTTGTGGCTCTTCCAAAACTGAGTCAGAGACCACAGTCGCCATGATTCTCTGCTGGAGCAGAACCCCATTCAGCCCAGAGGCCGCAGCGCAGCGTGGGATCCTACCTTCTGAGAGGTCCACCTTCCACCTGACTGCTTCAGGGTTTGGATACTGTCAGTTCTGCCTTCCCAACACCCAGGCAGGGGTTTGTGAATGTGAATGAGTTGCTTGGTCCACTCGGCCTTCAGGCTCAGTGAGGGCAGATTCTAGCACACCAATGAGGGAGATCTGAGGGTGAACAGGCTGCCGCAGACTCCCTGAACCATACTTGCCCTATCCCACCCTGACACTCGTCCTGATCCCTCGAAGAATGGCTGCTTGAGGGGGTGGGGATTTAGCCAGTGGTAGAGTCCTTGCCTTGCAAGCAAACAATCCTGAGTTCAGTCCTCAGCTCAGGGAAAAAAACACAACAAAAACAACAAATGAGCTGGAGAGATGGCTGAGTGGTTAAGAGCACTGCCTGCTCTTCCAGAGAATCCAGGTTCAGTTCCCAGCACCCACATGGCAGCTCACAGCTGTCTGTAACTCCAGGGGACCCGACACCCATGGCAAAACACTGATGCACATAAAACAAAAATTTAAAAAAGATTCATTAAAAAAAGAATGGTTGCTTAATAAATGAGTTTTGTTTTTTTTTCTTTGTTTTAAACCAACCAAGATAAAGACCAGGCTAGATGGAGAAGAGAGGAAATAAGTACAGTATATGAAGAGGATAGGGGGTATTTAAGAAAGAATCAAACTGAAACCATTTTGAATAAATCTTGAATAGGGGTCAAACAAAGTTTAAGTTCCCAAGACCTCCCCAGACCTGGGTAACTGACATCGCGGACACCCTGGCTTCTCAGACCATTTGTCATTTGTATATAATATGGCTAGTGATTTTTATTTTTTAGTTTATCTTGTATCCTGTCACATTGCTGAAGGTGTTTATCAGCTATAGGAGTTCCCTGGTAGAATTTTTGGGTCACTTATGCAAACTGTCTTATCATCTGTAAATAGTGAAGTTTAATTTCTTCCTTTCCAATTTGTATCCCCTTGATCTCCTTTTGTTGTCTTATTTCTCTTGCTAGAACTTCAAGTACAATATGAGACATGGGTGATGGGCGAGCTGCCCCGCCAGCACTTGAGTGAACCACCAAGGAGAACAGAGGTGTGCCACAGAGCAATGTTCCTGCGGAAGTCCCTAATCTTTGGTCCCCACTGGTGGGGAGGCGTAACTGTAAACTGGCACGTATGTTTATGTTTACTCTGCTTAGACACTTGCAGGGTGAGGGCTGGGGGTGCGGTCAGCTCCCGAGGCTGTGCCGTTGTCCCTGACCAGTTTCTGCTGTGCCGCTTCCTTGCATGGCCTCTGTGTCTGCTTTGGTTTTTAGGAGCCTTGGGTCCACAGCACAATTAGGAGACAGGTGAGTACCACATGTGATGAAGACAGACGGCCGCAATACAGGATGGGGAGCTGCCAGGATGGGGTGAGGGCTAAGCTTGACTGTCCACTTGACTGGAGCTAGAATCAACCCAACTCAAGATGCTGGACACTCCAGTGTCTTGATCAGAGTAGTTTAAGTGGGAAGACCCACCCTTCTTCTGGGTGGCACCTGCTGGCGGCAGCCCAAGCAAAACGACATGAAGGAAGAAAACTGCAAAAAAGCCTTCACTCTTGCAGCTCAGTTCACCTTCCCTGTTGCTGCTGCAATCCTCTGCTGCCATGAGAACCAGCTTCCTCAGTATGCATGGCACTGATCAGCAGCGGCAGCAGCGGCGGCGGCGGCGGCGGCAGGCCTCCAGGCCTCCAGGCCTCCAGCACTAGACCAGGACAGCTGAGACAGGCAGCCTCATGGATGGGTGACAACCAGGTTCTCAGCCTCCAATGTGAGACTGTTGGACTTGCTCAGACCATACTGTAATAAAGCCTCTTCTGATCTCTGTACTCATTCTATCTGCCCTGTTCCTTTAGAGAACCCTGACTAATAAAAATGGCATGAAAAACCCCAGGTCTTTTGGTCCAAAATCAAAGAAGCCTCTTGGTAACTGTTCCTTCCAAAGTTAGGAGTTAGAGTGACCAACGCAGGTAGCGATGGCCCAATGAGGAACACAAGTATTGTTTCAATACTCAAGATATTTGCCTAGCTGGGTGGTGGTGGCATATATCTTTAATCCCAGCACTTGGGAGGAGGCAGGCGGTGGATCTCTGTGAGTTCAAGTCCAGTCTGGCCTACAGAACGAGTTCCAGGTCAGCCAGGGATACACAGAGAAACCCTGTCTCCAAAAACAATAAACAAGCAAACAAACAAAACAGATATTTGCCTATCTTCCTTACGAACTTTGTAACTATGGGGAGCTGGGGATCAAAATCAGGGTTTTACACATGTGAGGCAAGAGTCTGCCATGAGCTACATTCCCAACCTGATTTATGAAAGTTAAGACTTTCCCTCCCTTTGGAGAGAGACAAGGTACAAAAGAAGATCTTTACAAGAACATGAAAAAAGGTTGGTTTTAGCCGGGAGTTGGTGACGCACGCCTTTAATCCCAGCACTCGGGAGGCAGAGGCAGGTGGATCTCTGTGAGTTCGAGGCCAGCCTGGTCTACAAGAGCGAGTTCCAGGACAGCCTCCAAAGCCACAGAGAAACCCTGTCTCGAAAAACCAAAAGAAAAAAAAAAAAAAGAAAGAAAAAAGAAAAAAGGTTGGTTTTAAACCAGGGGACTCAGATGAAACTAGCATCACTCATTCACAAGACTGGGCAGGGGGCAGAAGGGAAGGGTGGACCAAAACAGAAGTCAAGAGTCTCTGTGACAGGAGCGCTAGGTAGCTCCTCACTGGGAGAGCCCAGGCCAAGTCTGAAGTGACCAGAGGAGTACACAAGGCCGTCCCTGTTATTCTCACCACAAAAGCTTCCCTCCTTTTATAAAGGGGAGCATCTTTGAGACTTGTTTCCATGGAGAAGCCTCAGTTTATCTTAAGCAGGAAAGCTAGAAGTGTGAGACTCCTCAAAACCATTCTTGGGTACTGAGAGGCAGCCTGCCCAATGTGGATGCAATTCAGTCTAAGAGCCACGCTTGTTTCATCTAAGATGGGCTTTGGAGAGCTGACCAAGAGGTTGAGAACTGCGGAGGACCTGGTCCAAAATGTCATTTCTCAACAAAATGAGAAAATGCATTGTTCCTTCTGGAAATAAGAAGGCGTGGCCCGGGAAGGAGCCCCGAGCGGCTGTGCCCATCTTTAACAGGCTGGGCTGTTACAGCAGCCTTTGGTGGACGGCTTGGGGAGCGGCAAGCTGAGAGGCGGGGCCTGCAGTAGGTCAGCTGCAAAGCCTCTCTCTGCCTGGGAGCAAGGATCTTGTGGTCCTGCTCCCAAAGACTCCGAAGTCACAGGCTGCCAGTGCCAGGGGCAGGAAACATACTGAGGGTGTGGGCATGACTAGCTAGCCCTGGGTTCAATCCCCAGGACGGCAAACATTATTTCAAAAATACTTCTGACAAGGTTTTTTCCTTCTCTAAAATCCAGAGCCACACCACTGACACAGGGGATCCACAGTTCTCAGGCCGCACTTTGTTCCTTACTTCTTTTACAGACTCGTGTGACGGGTCAGTGGCTACACTGCTTTTTCTTGGCCCAGATATGACTATTAATATTAAGACAGAGTTTGTTAGAAGATGTAACTTCAAAGGTCAATCACACATACAGGGAACTAATTCATTAACAAAATGGCTTTTGGTCTTCGCTTAAAGGGACATTCCACCTTCGGTGGAAGACTTCGGCTGGGTGGCCTCTCCTCTGCCACCTCACTTCCAGGGCGACTCTCTCTCCACAGCAGGACGTTTGCACAGCAACACACGCTGTTCCAGAAACACTCCATGGTGGGTCCAGGTACCCAAAGCGTCACAGCATCATCAATGTCACCTCATTTTGTCACTGAGTCTGGATCTACCCAACTGAGTCCTGAGAAAGTGGATTAGCTTGGACTCTGTGAAGAACGCTGTCCCCAGGGTCACTCCTAAGCAGACGGTTCCCACAGCGATGTGTGCCAGCCTGGCAGGCCAGCCCTGCTCACAGCACAGGAATGCCTGGGGAGAGAAGCCAGTGTCACCACCAGGAAAACCAGGGAAACGCTATCAGTCAGCTTCTTCCTTTTTAGGCTTATTTATTTTATTTTATGTGTATAAACTTATGTGCAGTGTGTGTGTGTGTGTGTGTGTGTGTGTGTGTGTGTGTGTGTGTGTGCCTCATACCTGAGAGACTAGAGAAAGCATCAGATCCCCTAGAACTGAAGTTACAGATGGTTGTATGGGTGCTGGGAACTGAACCTGTGTCCTCAGAATGAGCAGTAAGTGCTCTTACTCACTGAGCCCTCTCTCCAGCCCTGTCATCCAGCTTCTAAGTCAGGTAAAGGACACAGTGATGGGGCTAGGGGTTACGTACTGCCCCATAGGTCTGGAGGAGATGGAGCAGACAAACCCTTGATCAGTCCGTTCAGGCTGGGTGGGAGAGGGAAGTCTAGAGGGAGGACCACTGACAGCCCGCGGAATGGAGCTGCATGAAGGCTGAAGAGAGTCTCACCTCTGAAACACTGGTAATGCCACCACTGAGGGCAAACACCCCGAGGAGAACAGGTGACAGGTGCAGGCCAGCCAGCGGCCTGTGGGGGCTCCTCTGGAAGTAGTGCTGGATAAAGTAAAGGCTCTGCGCGACCCGAATGCCCATGTTAAAGCAGTTGGCCAGGATGAAACCCACACTGCCGCACCAGCTGGTCAGGAGGTAGGATAGGACCAAGAACGAGGAAGACAGTGCCAGCATGGTGAGGTTGTACCTGGGGAGACAAGCAAAGTCGGGGCGTGAGGGCCTTGCCACAAGACACCACTATCACACAAAAAGTGGCCATACCAACCCACAGAAAGATCTAAGTTCACCTTACTCCAAACGAATTCCCATAATCCAATGTTCTTATACGCGTTGTGGGCAGGAACCGTTTGTTCAGTTCCTGTGCTAGATTAAACCAAGGCCTTACATATGTCAGGCATGCTCCTTTGCCTCCATGCTTTTCTTTTTTTCTTTTTTTAGAAACAGGGTGTCACTCTGTAGCCTACGCTGACTTTGAACCTCCAGAGTATGAGGATTATAGGCCTGAACTACTATACCTGGCTCAGCCCTTGGTTTTTTGTTGTTGTTTTGTTTTGAGACAGAGTGTCCCTATGTAGTCTAGGCTCGCCTCTAACTTACTATATAGCTTAGGCTGTCTGTCCTTCAGGAATCTCAATCTCTGTCTCTGTGTGTGTCTCTCTCTCTGAGGTGCTCAAGATCAAACACAGGGCTTTGCACAAGCTAAGCAAGGCTTCTTGTCTTGTTTTGTTTTGTTTTGAGACAGGGTTTCTCTGTAGCTCTGGCTACAACTGAAACTTGCTTTGCAGACCATGCAGGTCTTAAATTCACTGAGATCCACCTCTCTCAGCCACCTCCCCAGTGCTGAGGTTAAAGGTGTGCACCACGCCTCCCCCCCAGCTAAGCAAGCCTTCTTTACAGAACAACATCTGCAACCCTCAGGCCTTAAACTCATAATCTTCCTGCCTCAGGCTACCAAGAGCTAAAATTACAGGTGTGTGCTTCAATGCCCTGCAAAACCCATGTTTTTATAACACTGAATACTATATAGCTAACATGGAAATGTGACTTTTTCCTGACCCCTAAACAAAACATACAGAATTAAAGATACCTAGACTTTTTTTTTCTGTTTTTGTATTTGTTTTTGTTTTTTTCAAGACAGGGTTCCCCTGTGTATTCCTGGCTGTCCTGGAACTCACTCTGTAGACCAGGCTGGCCTCGAACTCACAGAGATCCACCTGCCTCTGCCTCCCGAGTGCTGGGATTAAAGGCGTGCGCCACCACGACCTGGCAATACTTGGACTTCTAAGGATAATAATTTATTAGGTGTTACTTTGTAATCAAAACACAAAAGCCCTTTTCAGCTGAAATCTTCAATGAATGTGACCAGGGTAATAATGCCAACTTGGTAAAGGTGCTAGGGACACTGGCAAGCAATTAATATGCATGACTCCTATCCTGTGCAGCTTAAATTTGTTCAACAGAGACATGAACAAGCACAGCGAGGCCGAGAACTCACCCGAGGACCACGGAACATTCCACCGTGCTAATGGAGTTCACCGCTTCCCCTGGAAAGCGATGCACTCGGGAGCTGAACCTCACTCAAAGCAAACGAGAGGCTCCCGAATGAGCTGTGAGCAGTGAGTAAACCTGGACCCTCCCTGAGGTTCTCCCGCTTGCAGACTCCCGGGCTCTCTCTGGGCTTTGGAGCCCAATGGTTACGCTACTTCTTTCACCACAGGTTTAAAACACCATCTTCAGTGTTCTGCAAGGGAAAGAGCTGAGTCTTGGCATCATAAAATTAATGCCACAGTCCTCAGAAAGTCTGTGATAGAGCCATTAACCAAATCCCCAGCATCTGGGTACTGCCTACTTCACAGGAGATACTCTATGAATATATAGCTGTTGAGAGAGTTAAACCCTGTAGGTCTCCAATTTCTGTCCACAAGTTAGACAGCCTCTGAGACCACCACCCAGGTTCTGTACATCAGAGGTGGTAAGAAAGCTGCTGTGTGTTCAATGAGTAATTCATCTGACTACAGATCATAAGGGAGACACTATGATCCCAAACATCTGGTTAGAGTTCTTTGGGCTGACCAAGGTCATGGCACTACAGAAACCTGCTTTATTAGAGTCCATAGTAAGAAACATACATATACTTACAAGTGCACACACACACACACACACACACACACACACGCACACACACGCTCACTGTACTCCAACAAAGGGTATAAAATTTCAGCCAGAAATTAAGAAAGAATGATCATTTGCTTCTCAGCAGAAAATGTTTTCATGACAAATGAACATACAAGAGCTTGTATCCACACTACTGCTCTGAGGTTCCTAGCTACAAATCTTCAGATATAAGTGTAGCTCTTAGCCCTCATCAAGAAAACTTCTCTTTGCAGCAGACAGAGACCATTGCAGAAAACCACAGCCAATCAAAGGGCAGAGCTGTAGAGCTCAGTCCCAACTGACCATCTATAACACAACCTCCACATCCAAGGCTCTGGGATTACTGCAGAAGAGGAGACAGAAAGACTGTAAGCCAAAAGAACAGGAAGTTTACTGTGAGGTTGTGTTCCCTAGGAATGGAAGTCTTACCAACATGGCTGCCTGCGTGTGACCTGAACAAAGACAATACCAATGGCCACGTTAAAACAGACAGGAGAAGCTCAAAAGGCCTCAGTCCTACACAAAGAACTAAAACTACAGGCAACTAAGTGTTGTGGAATATTATTTTAATTAGGCAAAGGTGTGTTACATTTGTTTGTGCTGTGTAAAGGTGTGTGGCTTACGTTTATGCTGCATTTGTTAACAATGCATGGATGTGTGTTTAATAATGTAAAGATGTGCTGCATCTGTTTCACCTTGCCTGCCTAAGGCTCCTAACTGGTTTAATGAAGAGCTGGCCAGCCAATAGCTAGGCAGAGAAAAGACAAGTAGAGCTAGCAGACAGAGAGAATAAATCTAGGCTTGAAAAGAAAGGAGGAATGAGAGGAGGAGGAGGAGGAGAGAATAAGGGGCTTGCCTGGGGCTGGAATCCAGGCGGCCATCAGCTAGCCAGACACAGAGACAGCAAGACAGGAAGGAAAGCCCCAAGGTGAAATGCAGATTAGAAAGAACAGGCCAAGTTGTGAGAGCTGGCAATAAAAGAGCTAAACTAGTAATCTCTGTGTTCAAGGAGTGTGGAGAGTTGGAGAAATAGCCTTTCCTAGGGAAGAGTTCACCAAACGGTCACCCAGCACCAAGCCGTCAGCCCATGTGGGACATACATTCAAGTACCATGCAGACTGAGGAGGTTGCATTTATATATTTAAGAACGAACACACACACACACACACACACACACACACACACTCACACACACACACACACACACTCACACATACATTTAGGGAAAGAGGCCATAAATTTGAATGAGAATAAGACGGGTGGTACATGGGAGGGTTTGGAGAGACGAAAAGGAATCGGGAAATTATGTAATTATATTATAATCTTAAAAATATTATTTTTTTTAAAGAAAAGAATGCTACCACCTACTGTCTAGGTTTCTTTATGGTCTGGTCATGAGACTCTGTTTCTCTCAAACAGTTCAAATGTGTTTCAGTACTGCCTCACCCCCTCCAGACTGACGCTGAAATTACTGTTAATTAAATTCTCTTCTGCCTGTTGGAGCGCACCTTTAATCCCAGCACTCCAGAGGCAGAAGCTGGTGGGTTTCTGTGAGTCCAGGGCCAGCTTGGTCTACACAGCAAGTTCCAGAACAGCCAAGACCACATAGCAAGAAATTGACTAAAGGAAAAGCGTGTAATGTGTGGTGGAGTCCTAGTTTACACACTGCCACATCTCTCACCTAGCATGCTTTAGATTAATTATATTTTTAATAGCAAATGGATTCAATATTAGGTCATAATGTGCCTTCAGGACTTTGACATTACATTTGTATGTATTTAGTTGTTTGTAGACGTGCCTGTGTGTACAGGAGAGTGCCTGTGTGTGCAGGGCACACGTAGAGACCAAGGACAATGCAGGAGTCACTTCTCCCCTTCAGCCATGCAGGTCCCAGGGTTAGAACTCTGGTGCCCCGGCTTGGCATCAGGCACCTACCCACTGAACCATTTCATTTTAGATGTAGTTCCTTTTGAAGAATGAGACAGACTAAAAGAATCAATGTGTCCTGTGCATAGATGAGGTGCTTTTTGTTTTGTGGACTTGCTTCTGTCGTATGCATTTACATGTGCACTGGGTCATGTTGTGCTCAGACCAGCAGGTTCCAAAGCTTCAGGCCACTTGGTGCTGGTAATGAACAGTCTCCTATTGGCCTGGGAGAAGACCAGAAGTCCCTAAGACAACCGCTTCCACCTGGGCTAGCATCCTGGCTACACTCCAGTCACTATGCAGCAAAGGCTACTATGTTCAGCAGTCAAAGATGAGAACAGAGGTTGCTGAGAAGGGAGAAGGACTCCCTGACTCTGGGTTACCCCTTCCTCACTCCACTCCTAAGACCAAGCCTCTGAGGTTCTCAGCGGTACTCAAGGTAACAGAGGCAGCCTGGAAACCTTCAGGGATTCAGAAATCAAGGGATAGTGGATAGACAGGACCACTGGTTCCATCCCTCATATTATCCTCTAAATTCTCTATCTCATCATTTTTATCCTTCTCATCTTACAATGACATCTTAAGATACTGCCCTAATATTTTTGGCATTTGGGATACAAAAAGCAGACGATCTTGGGTATGGACCAAAGATACTAAGCTATTTCACATCAGAATAACAAAGGAGGTTTTGAAATACACATGCATGCCCAAGGGCCTACAGATGTGATAGGCAAGAGTAGTACAGGTAGGGTAAAGAAGAAGCCCTGAGAGACGGCTCAGAGGCTCAGAGCACCGGCTGCTCTTCCAAAGGTCCTGAGTTCAATTCCCAGCAGCCACATGGTGGCTCACAGCCATCCGTAATGAGATCTGGTGCAGGGATACATGCAGACAGAACACTACATATACAATTTAAAAAGAAAAGAAAAAAGAAGCTCTGATTATAAATAACTCTCTCCATGGAAGAATTTGAATCACAACAGTGTTAAAACTCCTGGTGAAAGCTCCAAGGTAGGGGCCCAGTCTAGAGCTAAGAGGTAAGAAAAACTTGGGTTGAAATATATCTGCTTCTACATGCATGTGGGTGCTCTCCCTACATCTATGCCTGTACACCGCATGCCTCCATTCCCCAAGGAGGCCGGAAGAGGGTGTCCTGTCAGAACCCAGTACTTACCAGAGATTGTTAGCTGCCACGTGCGTGCTGGGACTTGAACCTGAGTCTCTTGAAAAAATAGCCAGTGCTCTTAACCACTGAACAATCTCTCTAGTCACTAAGAATTTGCTTCTTGAAAAAGCAAAGGAACCCCCTGGAGTTGAGGCCTGCTCTTAGGGATCTGAGCAGGGACACAGTGGAATGAAGACTAGCTTTTCCTAAGGCTGTCTGCATACCTAACAAATACAACTCCCCCAGGGTGGTACCCATCCCCATTAAAGGAAGCAGAGTCCTGGCCTCCTCGCCCCGCTGTGGGGAACACTAGGTAATCTGTGCCAGGGCAATGGCGGTCCTGGGTGGTGCCACGCTAGCAGTGTGGTGAGGCCTCTGAGAAAAGTGTACACAAGCCCATGCTCAGAACGGAAAGAAAGGGACGGGCAGTATTCCACTTTGCCCACAGGCCACGACTAAAGGCGTACTTGTGCGCTACCCACCTGTCAACCTCCTCTTTGCTCATGGCGGCGAATGTGAAACACTCCGTCACACCATTGACTGCAAGAAGGAGGACATAGACACAATAGGAGCGCAGCAACACAGGACCTACAGGAAACAACCCGCACACACTGTTAGCTCCACCGTGTGTTCAGACACCTGGGACCTGAGGGTAACAACGGGAGACAAGACGGCATCACACCTGAGGACTCGCAGTACCTCACGGCACTGACTGCCGGACAGCGAGGAATACACCCACAGACCTCGTGCCACCCACCAAGCAAAGCTTCGAACATTTTCAGTCAGCAGAGAGGTGGTGCTTGCTAGTTTGAGCACTGCAGTCAGTGTGTATACATTAAGGGAAGCTCAATTGAACAGGCTGCAGACCCTTTGGGAATAGCCAGGGCCTAGGACCAGCAACAAACTCCTGAGACAGAACCTTCACAATCCACGGCGAGAACCAGAGCCCCCAGTGGTGCTTTCTCCTAAAATAAAGTGACACGGAGTTACACCCAGCAGTACATTCTCCTCTGTGAAACAGTCCTGGCTGTCCTGGAACTCACTCTGTAGACCAGGCTAGCCTCGAACTCACTGAGATCCTCCTGCCTCTGCCTCCAAAGTGTTGGAATTAAAGTTGTGTGCCACTACAGGCTGGCTCCAGCAATACATTTTTAAGGTCAGTGGGACGATTCAGTGGGTAAGCGTGCTTGCTGCCAAAACTGACGACCTAAATTTGATCCCTGGGACCCACACTGTGGAGCAAAGAGCTCATTCCTGAAAGCTGTCTTGAATCCACACACATGTGGCACCTGTACACACACACACACACACACACACACACACACACACACACACACACACACACACAAATAAAGTGTAATTCTTAAAAATTTCAGATCAGGCCGGGCGTTGGTGGCACACGCCTTTAATCCCTACAGAGTGAGTTGCAGGACAGCCTCCAAAGCCACAGAGAAACCATGTCTCAAAAAAGCAATTAAAAAAAAAAAAGGATAAGCAAACTGTGGCCTTCCATTCAGAGTAGTACTTCTCATTGAGAACACCTTTAAAGGGGCTGGAGAGAGGGCTCAGCAGCTAAGAGCTCAGCAGCTAGAGGCACCGCTGCTCTTTCAGAGGACCCTGTTCAGCTCACAGCATCCACACAGCATCTTATAGCTGTCTAAAGTCCACTTCTGGCGATCCAACCCTCTTTTAGCCTTTAAAGGCACCAGGCATGCATGCAGTGCATATACATACATACAGGCAAAAACATTCATATAAATATATATATATATATATATATATATATAATTTTGAAAAGAAATTATTTCTTTTTTTTTTCTGGTTTTTCAAAACAGGATTTCTCTGTATTTTGGAGCCTGTCCTGGGACTTGCTCGGTAGACCAGGCTGGCCTCGAACTCACAAAGATCCCCCTGCCTCTGCCTCCCGAGTGCTGGGATTAAATGCCCAGCTAGAAAGAAATTATTTCAAAAAAACAAAAAGAAAGAAAAGATTTCTGGGCATTGTGGTGCATATGAGTTCAGGGTTAGCCTGGTCTACACTACATAATGAGTTCCAGGCTAGCCAAGGGTACATCATAAGATTTTGCCTCAGAAACAAACAAGAAAAACAGAACCCATGTATTAACAAATGTCAAAAACTTTAGACTAAAAAAGACACAAGAGTGTACATGCTGTAAAATTTTACTGACCTGAAATAAATTTATCCGTTTGTCTATTTTGTCTATTTGTTTCTCTATCTATTGTTTATTTATTTATTTATTCATCCATTCATTCACTCATTCATTTAAGGCAGGGTTTCTCTGTGTAGCCCTGGCTGTCCTGGAACTTGATCTGTAGACCAGGCTAACTAAACGCAGGGATAAGGTGTGTGTCATCACACCCAGCTGATCTGAAATTCTTTTTTTTTTAAAGAGCAGTACCACTGCTGGGATGTAGCTCAATGGTCTAACATGCACAAATCCCAGGGTTTGATACCCAGCACCACACATACACACACATACAAAAAATAAATAAAAACCAAAACTGATTAATCTTGGGCTGAAAGTGATAAGAGTGTTTGCTTAGTATGTTCAGGGCCCTAAATTCAAATTCCTAGCACCTAAATAAACTGATACATGCATATAACATACATGTATAAATAAAGTGATAAGGCCAAACCATGCAGATACGACATTCATTTCTGCTTAATGCAGGAATCCTTTCCAGGCAAGGACACATTCTATGAAAATACTTAAGTGGGAAGAACAGTGTTGTGTGTGCTCCCTGACACAAGACATTCATCTGGACACACAGCACGAGTAAGGGCTGGGCGAGGAGAAGTGGTGTGAGAGGGAAGCCCAGCAGGCAGTGTGTGCAGAGGCCCTGATGCTACCCAGACAGGACAGGGCTTTGTAGGGCGACAGCTTGGTCAAAACAACAAGCAATGAGCCAGGTGGTGGTGGCACACGCCTTTAACCAGCGCTTGGGAGGCAGAGGCAGCCTAATGATGGCAGTTAATTTATCTCTAGGATAAATTGCTCTACCAAATGAGCATGATAATAATTGGACAGCCCCTCCTGGCAACATCTTGTGGTTGTGTGAAAGCAGAGGCTGTTTCTTGGGAACTGTTTCTAAGGGGGCAGAGCTGGTATAAACAGTTGGATCCCCTATCTCTGCACATAAACTTCCTAATGGCTTCCTAATGAGGCCTCCCAAGCAGTTGCCTGATGGAGACTACTGCTTGAGGCACAAACCCCAAGGAGCCACAAATCATATCACAGGCTTCACAGCAGGTAGTTCCTCAAATTTCACATTTGCTCTGGCACAGAAACACCATCCCTTTCTCTCCCCAATGCCAAGTCTGAGGCCATTGTGGCAACTGAAACATGGAGGTGTAAAATTGTAGTGACAGGACCCTTTATATGGAGATGGGTCAGCAGAGAATCTTCCAGGTTCCTGTCTAGAGATCTGAGAAAGTAAAAGCATCTCTGCTCATCCCAGGATAAAAACTGCAAATGGATGGTCAGTCTACAGCCCAGCACAGTTTGGAACAGATAAACACGCCCAGGGACTAGCAAGTGCACTGAAATTCTCAGCAGCCTGGGGACCAAGTATCTCAGTGACAGATACAGCCCATGCTGCTTTTCCAAGCCGAGAGTCAGTAGATTAAATATACAACTTTATTGCTGAGATTAATTGTATTCTAGGCAAATGGCTCCAGGTTATCTTTCCAAGGCTTTTACTCATCACACTCTGAGATTTACCAAATAGAGACCCATCATAGCCTCCTCTCTGCTTTCCTCCCTCACTTAGAGGAAGCACAGGTAAGTACTTGGCAAAATATACTTATGGGGGGGCAGATATATATATATCTGAGAGGAAAGCCAATAGCAAGAAGGATTCCCCACTTCTTCAAGCGAGGGTGGAGAACTGAGTGCAAGCCCAGCCTGCACCCTGACTGCGGCTGATAATGAGGGAGCAGCCCCGAAGCCCGGCTATCCAGACATTCTCCCCACAGTGACACATGGACTGAATTTCATGAGCCGCTTCCATTTCTACTCAGAAATCAGAACAAACCCTTTACAGAGTCTAGCACATACCCGATCCTGAACTAAGCATGGCTCCTCCATAGATGTCCAGAGCCAGTTGAGAATAGGCAAAACCAAAAACAGTGATGGTCAGGCCAGTCAGCAAGGCCAGCTTGAGGAGAGACTCCAAAACCGCAGCAGCCACAGCAACGTCCTCCTGGACCAGGGGAAAGGAAGGAAGTCAGCTGAGTCTGAGCTCAAGAGCAGCTCATGCAGGCCATCCCTTCCAGTGAGGGCTCTGTGCCTCTCTGAAGCCTGTACTTGTCTTCATTCGTGACAGATGAAAGGAGAACTGAGCCGCGTCTCCAGGTGGGAGGCAGGAGGCTGAGTTTTCACCTCATCCAGGATAAATTTCCAGTATTGCTAAGAAAACACTGTCTTTATTCTCGAATTTTCACCTGTGCTGGTCAGATCTGTGCTGCTTCTCACTGATGGCTGGAAAGTCTGTTCTTGTCAGCACACACTGCTGCTAAGTCAGACTTCCGACCAGATCTTACTCTCAGATGCTGAGCATACATTGCACTTTGTAAACTATCTTCTAAGACATGTAGAGGCAGACCTAGATTGCTTTTAATTGCAAAATAAGTCAGAGGGAGCAGAGGAGACTACTCAGGTAAGAGTGCTTGATCTGCACGCATGAGGGCCTGAGGCCTTTAATTAAAATCCTCAGTATCCATGTTGGAAAAAAAAAAAAGCTAGGCATGGCTTTCTGTGTTTGTGGTGCAGCATTGAGGAGTGGGATAGGCAGATCCCAGAGCTTGCTAACCAGCCAGCTGAGTCAAACAGTGAGCTCCTGGTTCAGTGAGACCCGGCTCAAGGCATCAGGCAACGTAAACAGCAAAGGCCGGGCAGTGGTGGCATACACCTTTAGTCCCAGCACTTGGGAGGCAGAGGCAGGCGAATCTCTGTGAGTTGAAGGCCAGTGTGGCCTGTCGACCACAAATTCCAGGACAGCTAGGGCTACACAAAGAAACCCTATCTTGAAAAACAAAACAAAAAGAGCCAAAAATCTTTTTAAAGTGGTCAGAATTTTCAGTGATAACAGGGCTGGGGATATGGCTCAGCTGGGAGAGTGCTGGCCTAGCATGTACATGGCCCTGAGTTTGATCCCTCACACTGCATTAGCGGCCTGTGGTAACACACGTCTGAAATCCCAGCACGTGGGAGCCTGAAGCAGGAGGTTCAGAAGTTCAAAGTCATCTATGAGTAAAGCCCTGTTTCAGAAAACAAACAACAAAATTAAACCCAAGAATTGAGCAGACAAAGAGAAAGGTCGTAGAAGAGGACGGGGGAGACAAACAGGACAGCCAGGAGGACGGAGAAGCAAGCCCTGGGTCCTGCCAGCAGTGGACACCCTTGGCGTGGGGCGCACGCCTCTCACTCCACTACTTAGGCAGCGGAGGCAGAGAATCAAAAACTTCCAGGTCTGCCTCAGCTACGAAGGGAGCTCAAAGCCAGCCAGGGCTACAAGACTCAAAACAGAACAAAACAAAACAAAACAAAGCCAGGTGGTGGTGACACACACCTTTAATCTCAGCCCTTGGGAGACAGAGGCAGGCGGGTCTTCAAGTTTGAGGACAGTCTGACCTACAAAGCAAGTTCCAGGACTACTTAGTGAAATCCTGTCTTGAAAAACAAAAAAAACAAAGCAAAACAGAAAGAAGAGGAGATCTAGAAGGAAACGTCAAATCCAACTGAAGGACAACTGACTGTCCTGAATTTCTTGTCATTCACCTGAGATGAATGAGAGCCAAACTCACCGGCTTCTGACGTGTGGCATCCTTCCCCCTCTCTAGCACCTTAGCAAAGAATATATAAAAACTCTCCTCTATGGGCTGGAAAATTAGCCTAGCCACAAGGGACCCAAGATTATTCACTATATCATAGACACCTACAAAACAGAAAGAAGAGCGACAATCATGTTAGTTCTTAATTTCACAGCACTATATGAAAATTGCTTTTCTAATTTAATGTTTAATTTAAAATTTTAATCTTTTTCTTTTGTATATAGGGCCTCATGTAGCCCCGGCAGCCCTTGAACTCTCTACCCAGCCAACAAAGACTTGAACTTCTGATCCACCCCTCCACCTCCCAATGCTGGGACTATGGGTGTGCACCACCACATCTAACGTTCCCTGGTGCTGAGAATTAAACTCAGGGCTCCATGCATGCCAGGCAAACACTGTATTAACCAAGCTGCTTCCCCAGGCAAAAGTCTGTAAATTTGGAGAGAAACAGTGTATGGTTGAAGAAATGACAGGTTTATGTACCAAATGATACCATCTTGCAAAATCTGCATTACAATATTGCAACCATGATCCTGCCATTTATATAGTCAAGACAGAGGCTCTTTTGTCACTAGCCCTTTAAAAATTAAGTCATCAACTCGAAGCTGACTTTTTCTCTACTTCTATTTCCATTACTCTGGTATCACACTGAAAAATAAATATAAAACAGACCCTGAGAGACTGGGAGCAGATCTTTGTGACAACGAGGAGCCCCAACCCCTCAAGATGACTAGGAGAAATAGAGAGTGAGGGTCCCAACAAGGCTGCCACCCAAGTCACATGACAAGGTATTGTCAAAGGCCTAGTATCTATTAATGGTATCCATCGTTAATTAAAACACTTACCCTGATCGCCAAAGTTTAATACATTCAAAAATGTCATCACATATCGCTCCCCTATAACAGAAAATAAACTTAGCATTTCAAATGCAACATTCATTTTTTTTCCTTTTCTCTAGGATCTATCAGTGTTTCCAGTTGATAAATACACCCACCCACCCTACCTACCCACTCCCCCCGTTTATGAGCTCAACAATGGACTTGAGCTTGAGAAGCCCCTGCCATGCCTTCCTAGATGCCAGGCTTACAGGTGTGTGCCACCATGCCTGGCTCCGGTTGACAAGGACAAGTATTCTCAGAGAAACATCAGATAACCAATGAAAAACCAGTTCAGTGTCCTAACATTGACTTCATACCATCACTTAGCAACAGTTCAAAATGTGCTGAGGCCTTTACTGATGGAGTCTTAAATTAAAAACAAATGAAGATTATTTCAAAACTAGCCTTTAATCCTAGCACTCAGGAGGCAGAGGCAGGTGGATCTCAGTGAGTTCAAGGTCAGCCTGGTCCACAAAGTGAGTTCCTGTACAGCAAGAACTGTTACACAGAGAAACCCTGTCTCAAAAAACAAACAAGCAAACAAAAAAACAAACAATAAAACATGGGGAGATTTCAGAAATGTTAATAGTGAAATGACTTCCAAGTCTTAAGGGAGGCCACATTCTCCCCCCGCTGTCCTCTGTGTGGCTTTGGAGCCTCCTCCTGGCACTCACTCTGTAGACCATCTTCTCACAAGACTACTCTCTGACCTGTCTCCCTGTAAAGACAACTGTGTGTGACAGGGAACCCTGTGGGTCCTCTCAAGTTTCCATCCCTAGGCTGCTCTGACGTTCCCTGACTTCAAACAGTTCCAGCTTTCGTAAACACAGTCATACTCCACAAGAGCTTGCAATTCTAATGATCAAACTAACTGTAAATTAAAAACACCCAGAAAAGAACGTATTTGAACTGAACATGACTAAACATGTATGGCTTTTATGATTATTATTCTCTAAATAATATAGTATAATGATAGTTTTGCATAGCACTTGTGTTAAACAAGGTACAATTAAGTACTCCTGAAATGATTTAAAGCATAAAAAAAGGGTATGTCTAAGTTATATACAAAAATACACCATTTTACACAGGAGTTTGAGCATCCTTAGATTTCAGTATATCTGGGATTGGTCCAGGAACCAAAACCTGATACCAAGGGACAGCTGTATAGTCCCCTGTTGATCCCTGCTGTCCCTCCTTCAAATGGCTCATTAGAATTTGCAAAAGTCCAGGCTCAAACCCAGCAGTGGTGATTACACCTTTAATCCCAGCACTATGGAGGCAGAGGCTAGTTCAAGGCTAGCCTGGTCTGTAGAGTGAGTTCTAGGATGGTCAGGGCTACACAGAGAAACCCTGTCTCAAAAGACAGTCCAGGTTCCTTAATCCTGCAGTGGAGGCATTGTGTACACTAACCCCAGCTATCTTTTGGCCTCCTTTCCCCATCTTCACCCTGATCACATTTTCATCCTGTTACCCCTGCCTGCGTGAGTTTCCCTTTAGCGGCTCTGGCTCAGTCTGTATCTGACTGGGCATCCTCATCGGCTACAATGGACTTTTTTAAGGCCCCTCCCTGTTTTCTGGCAGGAGACCCCTTTGAGATACCCTCATCTCCTTTCCTCTTCAGTTCCTTAGCAGAGCTCTAAGAAATGAGGGTCCTCAGGGACTTGTGCTGACCAAGTTAAGATCTGCAGCACAGCCCCACGGCCAGCTAACCGCCTCATGCCAGTGGCTTTCCTGAGAGAAGGTCTTGAGGTCATGGCCTGTTACTTATCTGTCTTTGCTCTCAGCACCCGACACAGTATACAGGAAACATATACAGACAATTCTTCATTTTTCTGAGACAGGTTTCTCTGTGTAGCCTTGGCTGTCCTGAAACTCACTCTGTAGACCAGGCTGGTCTCAAACTCAGAGATCAACCTGCCTCTGTCTCCCAAGTGCTGGGATTAAAGGCGTGCGCCACCACTGCCCAGCTGAAAGACAGTTCTGAATTGGGTTGAAGAATGTATAAAAAGTTAGGTTATCATAATGAGATAATTTTCAAATTTTTCTTCCATTGATACAACACTTCTATAATAAACTTATTAAATGATATAATATGGGCTTTTCCAGTTAGATTTTGCTATAGTCTGTGTATGAAGTGTGCCTCCAAGTCCCATGTGTTGAAGCTTTGAGCCCCAGCCCTGGTGCTACTAGAACCTTCAGAAGACAGGAGCTAGAGGGAGAAAGTTAGTCCCTGGAGCATACTGCTGAAGTGTATATTCCAACTCTGGTCCTCTGTCTGTCTCCCAGCAAGCCTCCTCTGCAATATACCTGCACCATGATATACTGTGTTATCTTGGGCCCAAAGCAGCAAGGCTAAGTAGTCACGGGCTAAGACTGTGAGCCAGATCACACCTTCCCTGCTTTTAAGTTGACTGTCTCAGGTACTCTGCCACAGGAACAGAAAGTTTACTAACAGAGACTTAGATTTCAATTAAGCTATCCTTTGTAACTACAGGACTTTAGAGCACGACCCCCAGTTTCCTCATCCCTATAAAGAGGAAGAGAATATCTTTTACAAGGCTATGGAGAGATTTAAACTAGACAATTTAAGTAAAACATAAAGCCAAAAGCCAGGCACTTGGGCGGCAGAGGCAGGTGCATCTCCATGAGTTTGAGGCCGGCCTGGTCTAGAGAGCAAGTGCCAGGAGAGGCTCCAAAGCCAAACAGAGAAACCCTGTCTCGAAAAAACCAAACCCAAACAAAAAACATAAAGCCAAATAAATATTAGCTCCCTTATCTTTATTTAAAGCAGAATAAAGCAAGCATATTCTAAGTGTCCTCTGCCAAGGGCTCCAGATAAGAGCTCTGTGTCATCAGTCATGTGAGATCCCAACTGCTCAACACGACCTCTTACTGTACTTACCTTCAGTTAAAATTTGTTTCAAGAAAGACTGCTTGAAAAAACTCCAAGTCAGTTTAGCCTCTTTCCAATTGACAAATGCCTACAAGAAAAACAAAACATAAAACAAAATTTCCAGCATCTCCAAGCTAAGAGCTACCTGAGAGGCAAACTCACTTCTGCCCCCTACGATCCCAACTTGAATAGCTCCCGTTGAACCGTCCATCGGTGCTGAGCATACAGAACAGCTGGACCCAACTGGAAGACTGAGGGTGGCAGAGGCTTCCAGCAGTGTTCAGAGAAGTGCCATGGCCACTGAAGGTGTGCTGCGGAGGCACTGAGGGCGTACTGCAGAGGCACTGAGGACGTGCTGCAGAGGGCACTGAGGGCGTGCTGCAGAGGGCACTACGGGATGCCAGCCCCTTCTCTTCTTGCCCTTCCCAGACAGGGGAAACCATTTTGCCCAGTCATGCACTTCCGCTACAATGTGCTGGCTTGACACAGGCCAAAAGCAGCAGGACCAACTGACCATGGATGGAAACCTTTTCTGGACGGGCGTCTTGTATTCTCAGTACCCAGGAGGTTGAAGCAAAAACATGCTGAATCAAGGCCAGCCTTAGTTATAAAGGGAGTTCTAGACCAGCCTACACTAAAAGTAGGCCCCATCTCAAGAAACAAAACAAAGGACCTCAAACAGGAGTGGTGGCCCTGTATTCCAGTATCAATCACGATGCAGAAGAGAGGACTGACCTCCTTCAAGACCATGCTGGGCTACAGAGTGAGTTCAAGGCCACCTAGACTATAGAGTGAGACCTTGTCTCTGAACAAAACTAAAACTAGACTAAACTTTCTTTACGATTTATTTCAGGTATTTGTTATAATAACAGAAAGCTGATTTCCAAAATGGGAAGGCAAAGTTTTAGGCATGCCTAAACTATACGAAAAGAGCTCTAAAGAATCATTACAACCCCTTTGGATGCCTTTGAAATCCAGACAGTACACTACCACATCTAAAACACAGTTCACATTCAAGTCTTTTCTTTAAAACAAATAAAGCTGGGCACTGGTGGTGCATGCCTCAGGAGGCAGGCCAGCCTGGTCTATAGTGAGTACCAGGACAGCTATTGCTGTTACACAGAGAAACCCTGTCTCAAAAAAACAAAAACATAGTCGGGCAGTGGTGGCACACGCCTTTAATCCCAGCACTCGGGAGGCAGAGGCAGGCGGATCTCTGTGAGTTCGACGCCAGGCTGGACCGACAGCCTCCAAAACAATACAGAGAAACCCTGTCTCGTAAAAACCAAAAAAACAAAAACCAAAAAAACAAAAACATGTGTGTGGGTGTGTCTATGTGTGAGTGTGAGTTTAAGTGTGTGTTTAAATGTATGTGAGTGTGTAAGTGTGTGAGAATGTGTGTTTGAGTGTGTGTGTGTGTGTGTGTGTGTGTGTGTGTGTGTGTCTGAAGCATGGAAAGCTAAAGAACAAACTCCTCCCCCTCGTATTCCTTATTTTCATACTAGGTTCAGCCACTCTGGGGCCTTGACGCAGTTGTGAGGTGTAATCACATATTCCAGAAGAAACTCAACCTTCCCGGGTCAGATAAACCACTCAGGATTGATACAATAGAGGAAAGCGTAGATTAAAATGATAATAGCAACAACAAAACCCTAACTTTACCTATGACTCTTCTGAAACCTTCAGGACCCTCAAACTGCCACTTCCTAAAGACAACGAGAGTAAGAAGGAAACAAACTCGGATAGAGCAGATCAGCCTGTGAGTGAGCCTTACAGCCAGGAGGCTGACTACACAGAGTAACCAGTTCCCCTCAGTTCTTAGGGGGACTCAACTTTGTCACACAGGCATTCTGGAGTCTCACATGTCAAGTCCAGAATTATAATTCTTTGTTTTCTGCAGTCACAAGTAAAATCACTTGGTTTTTGGTTTTTCTAGACTAGGTTACTCTGTAGCTTTTGGAGGCTGTCCTGGAACTCACTCAGTAGACCAGGCTGGCCTTGAACTCACAGAGATCCTCCTGTCTCTGCCTCCCGAGTGCTGGGATTAAAGGTGTGCGCCACCACTATCGATGAGCATTTGTTTTCCTGTTCAAAAAGGTTCTAGCTGTGCAGCAACCATGTGGATTGGTTACTTGTCTCGTCGCTGTGACGAAACACCTGGCAGAGTAGCTACAGCAAGGGAGGAAGGCTGCTCTGGCTCGCAGCTGAGCGGACAGTACATCAGGGAGGGAAGGCAGAGGCAGAAGAGGTGGCCGCTCACACCGCGTCCACAGTCACAGAGCAGGAAACAGTGGGTCCCAATGCTCAACTCCTTCCTCCTTTCAATTTAGTCCAGGACCCCAACTCATGGGACGGCTCTGCACACACTGAGGGTGTGCAAGGGTGGGCCTTCCCACCCTAATTAACCTAACTGAGAAAGTCCCTTTCAGACACACCTAAAGGTACTTTTTCTAGATGATTCTAGCTCCTGTGGGGTTGACAATCAATATTGGCTATTACACTATGTCACCCAGGCTGACCTTATTTATGACCCTCCTGTCTTAGCCATACCTCGACAATTAAAACAAAACGTGTGGGTGTGCACACTCCTGTGCGTGAGAGTGTATGTGTGCGTGCATGAGTGTGTGTGCCTGTGTGCCTGCATACACAACATGTGTGGGTGGGCATGTGCCACCGTGTGTGTGTGGTGGTCAGGAGATACCTGTGTGGAGTCAGTTTTTTCCTTCTCCATTTACATGGGATCCAGGGTTTGAACTCAGGTTACCAAGTTTGCTCAGCCAGAGCAACTTTACCAACCGGGTCACCTCATTGGCTAAACGTGACTTTGACCTCTCTCCCCTCTAGACTCCACTTCCCAAGTGCTAGGATCACAGTCCCGGCCACCAGGCCTCCTTTCTGTGGGTTAGAGCTTGAACCCAAGAAAAACTCTAACAAATGAGCTAGCTCCTTTTTTATTTCTTATTTTTTAAGATAGGGCCTTATGTGGCCCACGTAACCTTGAACTCAATATGTAGCTGAAGATGACACTGAATTCCAGATCCTACCTGCTTCTACCTACCAACTGCTAGAATTAGAGGCACACCATCCCATCCCCTGCTTCCTAATTTTAACATACTTAACTCAAAATATTATTCTGCCAGCACTCAGGAGGCAGAGGCAGGCAGATCTCTATGAGTTCGAGGCTAGCCTGGTCTACAAAGTGAGTTCCAGGACAGCCTCCAAAGCTACAGAGAAACCCTGTCTCAAAAAACCAAAAAAAAAAACAAAAAAACAAAAAAAAAATTATCCTGCCAGACAGTGGTGGCACAGGACTTTAATCCCAGCACTTGGGAGGCAGAGGCAGGTGGATCTCTGTGAGTTCAAGGCCTGCCTGATCTACAAAGTGAGTTTCAGGACATCTCTGTCTTGGAAAACCAAAAAAGAAAAAAATATATTATTTTTCCATGTGCTGAATATGAAATATAGCAGCATTTCATATATTCTTTGTTGCCCTAACCTTTAAAGTGTAGAATGTATTCTAAAACTTACTGCTCTCTCCACTCAGATTATTCTAAAACGCTCTACAGTCACAGGCGGCTCAGGCCAGATAACTATCTTAGACAGGGCAATCCTAGGACACCTCTGAGAAAGTGAGGCTCTTTTCATCCCTCATTCCCCCGCTTTTTCTTTAGATAAGAAGAGGATGAACCTGAACCTTCCCAAACTGTGCCGTCTTCAGGGTGTCAATTAACTCTCAGCAGATGTCAAAGCGTATCTCTAGCCCTGAAGTAAGCCTTCCCCAGGCAGAAGGAAATTGGGCCACAAGATATTTATTTAACACTGGGGACTGGAGAGTTGGCTCAGCGGTTAAAAGCACTGGCTGCTCTTCCAGAGGTCCTCAGTTCAATTCCCAGCAACCAGGTGGTGGCTCACAACCATCTGTAATGAGATCTAGTGCATGCAGGTAGAACACTGTATATATAATAAATAAAATCTTAAAAAAAAAATAAAGATGTTTAACACTCGGCAATCATCTCCTTTATCTAGAACAAAAGGTGCTAGACAATCTCACACCACTAGAGGGCACTATGGACCACTCATCCTCAGATTCTGCCCATGGTCCACTCTGATCGCACAGTGTCCCTGCCCTGGCACAACAGTATTGCTCTGAGGGAACCTGTGCTGTAGCACCTGCACTATTTTCAAAGGAAATGAAAATCTGAAGCTTGCCCCCCCACACCCCATCCCTCACCTGCCCCGCCCCAGACAGACTGTTGGCTACCTCAAAAGCTTGCACCCATCCCACCTCACCTTCTCAAATGCTGGGATTAGCAGTGTGTGCTGCTATGCCAGACCCCATGGTGCTCTTGTTGAAGCCTACTTGCCGGTAGGTAGTAAAGGTGTTTGGGCAAACGACTCAGCTTTCAAAAGCGAAAGTCCTTAGGAGAGTGAAACCCTGAGTGGGAGCCCTAATCCCTGCAGCCCATGGTTCAGAAGGAAGGGCCACAGTGTTCATTGAGAACACACTGGCGGGAAGTCCACGCTGAGGCTTGGGCTCTCAGCTCCTGAGTGACAGAAAGGAGGAGCAAACGCTGGGGACTCGCATCCTTCTGTCTGGAGTGGTGCCTCTTGGGATGTGAGTGGCACTGTGGAGTAACGCTGGCTGGGTACACAGAGCTCTGAGTTAAGACAGGCGCGAGCTTCTCTGAAACTCCTAAGCAGACAGACAGCCCACAGCCCCGCCGTGCTATGAGGCGTAAGGTGACTACATGAAAGGGGGAGTCAGTCTTGTCCTGCTGAGTTTTTCATTCTCCGCTTCCCAAACTCTTGTGACTCAGGGAGATCAGCTGTGTCCTTCCCACACGGAAAGTCACTGGGAAGCCCGGGGCCAGCCATCACCTCCATCAGGCCACACGGCACCCTCTCCCTTCCCACCCCAGTCCTCACGGGCCGCTGACTGCCCAGACTTGCCCGTCCTCCCTTTTCATCCTCCTCGAGACTGTCCTTATAGCTCTTACCTGGGACACCGCCCTGGCCTCCCACTAAGGCGCTGCTTGCCCATCCTTTTCTCTGGCACCAAGCTTAGCACCTAGGGTTTGAACTGCTTCTTGACCTAGCCCAAAGGCCAAGGGCAAGACAGCCAACTTTGCTAAGCCTTGGTTTTGTCCTCTGCAAAATGAGATAAGCTCTACTGGTAAGGGATGTCCTTCTGTATGCTGTGAGTATGTGCTGCTATTATTGGCTGATGAATAAAGCTGCTCTGGCCTTTGGCAGGCCAGAATATAGCGAGGTGGGAAACCCAAGCAGAGGTACAGGGAGAAAGGAGGCAGAGTCAAGGGTTACCATCCAGCTGCCCAAGGAGGAAGGTGTCCAAGCATCACAGGTTAATTTACATGTAAGAGCCAGCCAGTAATAAGCCTGACCACTGACTAAACAATTGTAACTAATAGTAAGCCTCTGAGTGGCAATTTTACAAGCAGCTGTGGAACCTGGCAGGACAGCAGAAAAGCTTCTAGTACACTCTATCTTACAGTAAGATTAGCTAGACGTGGTGGCACGTGCCTGTGACAACAGCACTCAAACTCTTGAGGCACGAGGGACTAAGAGCTTAAGGCTGGACATATGGTGAGACCAGTCTCAAAGAGAGACAGAAGTTCTGTTTCCTGAGAGAAAAGTGAGAAGCTATGAAGCTCCTCCCACATGGCACCATTAAAAAAGTCTTTCAGATTTGTGTGGAAACCCAGCACTCAGGAAGTAGAGATAAGAAACCACAAGTTCAAGGGCATCCTCGGCTACGTAGTTAGAAGTTAGCCTGGGTTACATTAGTCCCTGCTTCAAAAAGGAATTCTGAGAAGAACAACCATTGTCTTCACTTATATATCCAACGCCAAGTCTACCTAGTTCCAACTGATAGATAACTCCAAACTGATGCTACACAGTTGCCCTTGCTAAACTCAATGGGTCACAAAATAAAACAAAAAGCTGTGGAGTTCATCTCAGCAAGCACGTCTTCAGCGTGAGGCCATATTGAATGCGTTGTGGTGGAGAGATCCGATACATGCTTAGACAACCACACCTCAAGACAGCGTGCATTTGGTTGAACTGAGAATTCTATCTGGAGCAATCAGGAAGGCTTCCTGGAGGAAGCTGCCTTTGAGCTGGAGCTTGACATGGGTGGGCAGAAGTGGACTGCGTATGTGTGGTAGTACTCTGAACCATAGAAGGTATGCTTAAGCCTGCGCGGTGCCCATCAGTGGGTTGGGACTGAGAATATGGCTATTTCATCCGTGAGGTGAGGAGGAGATCTGTAGGAAATGGCAGTTAGACAGGGGAGTGGGGAGCTGGGAAAGGGAGAGCCTGGTCAGTAAGGTATTGCATGTGTGCAAAACTGTTGAACAAATTTAACTTTAAAAAACTAAAACTAACAAATCTTTTTCTATTCTAAAATAAAACCTTCCTTAAGTTCCACTGCTCCTGAATTCAGGTCAAACTCTGCTCTGCTGGGGTTACTGCCATTTGGTGCTATCCCAGCACCCATGCTCACCCCCCTTCGTAATCTCTCTCTGGTGCTAGCCCGGCACCTATGCTCACCTCCCTTCATAATCTCTAGCCACTTCTGTCCCTCCCCCTGTCCGTTCCACTCAAATGCCCCACTTGCCCCATATTCTGAAGCCTTCCTGAAAGCTCCTATAGGCTCCCCCGTCCATCCTGAGCTGCTGTTCTGACGACACTAAATGAATGCAGTCTTGCCGTGTGGTTGGCTGAGCATGTATCGGATCTCTCCTCCACAGCGCAGTCACCACTCCACAGCTTCACTTAAATACCAGCAGTCTTCTCAGGTTACTCAGACGTGACAGAGAATATAAAAGCAGTAGTCATTGGAGGTGCCACTCATTTATTTCAAATCTAAACAAAGCCAGGTGGTGGTGGTGGTACCTCACGCCTTTAATCCTGGCTCAGGAGGCAGAGGCAGGTGGATTTCTGAATTCGAGGCCAGCCTGGTCTACAGAGCAAGTTCCAGGACAGTCAGGGCTATACAGAGAAACCCTGTCTTGAAAAACAAACAAACAAACAAATCTAAACACATATCTATAAAAAAAATGGAATTCTAGAAGACTAGGAAGGGAAACCTTGTGATTTGGTTGTTGATTTTGCATGTGACCGTGAGAGTAGTTTTACACTGGAGTCTGGTGCAGAAAGCTGCTCCAAGGAGACAAACAGGCTTCTGCTTGAGGGAGAGTTGAATATAGACTATTCTCTTCTTGTCATTTGTCTTGTTGTTTTTGAGGCAGGGACTCACTATGCAGAACAGGCTGGCCTTGAACTTACGGAGATCCACCTGCCTCCCAAATGTTGGGATTACAAGAGTACACCTCTACACCTGGCCTAAGACTCTTCTCTTTACGCCTTTAAAAATAATAAGCCTGAGTAATTTTTCTACCTGGAACTTCCCATCTTTAAGCAAATAAAAAATTACATGGGCAATAAGCCCAATTCTTTTGGAGCTTAGTTACCCACATAAAGCAAAGCTGGTCCACAGAAAGCAATTACAAGGAAGTGGACTCAAACAGCCCTCTCATCTGTAAAATGGAGACAACCGCATTTATCTCACAGGACCTTGGGAAAACATAACACAAAACCCACGTCAGTGCTGGCAGAGAGCAGTTACTATAACCTACTCCTTCTTCCCTCCCTGAAGCTCTCTCTCTCCCTTCATCCATTTCTGGCACTACCTGGAACTGAACTTGGGCCTTTCAAATACTAGGCTACATCTCCAGACTTTCTTTTCTTTAAAAATTTTACGGCAGGGTCTCACTATGCTGCCCAGGCAGTCCTTGACCTCCTGATCCTTCCGCCTCAGCTTCTTGAACGACTGTCATGTGCTATCATGCTCATCTTCAACGGGCCTTTTCAAAGTTCAAATAGCTTCATGGAGCTCCTGAAGTCTTCAGATGAGCCTCCTGGGTCATGTAAGCCAACAGTTTCACTTTAAAAATAAAGAGTCGGCCAGGCAGCCTTTAATTCCAGCAGTCAAGAGGCAGAGGCAGGTGAATCTATGTGAGTTCAAGGCCAGCCTGTTCTACAAAGCCTGTTCCAGGACAAGACAGCCAGGGCAGTTACACAGAAAAACCCTGTCTCAAAAAACCAAACAAACAAAAAAGTAAACAGTAAATTAAAACATAAGGGCTCTAGCCAGGTGTGGTGGCAAGCTACATTTCCAATTATTTGGGAAGATAGGACAAGAAGGTTGTTTGAGCCCAAGAGTTCAGCACTAGTTCAGGCAAAAGAATCAGACCCCTCTCAAACAAAACAAAACCCGAGTCTGCAGGCTTCAGATCTCTCCCTGTTGCCTTCCAAACCGACAGGAAGCTCTCTGAGGCCTAGAAATGTGCCTTCCTGATGTCTGGGTTCTAATCACACCAAGCATGGGGTCAGCCATTTCAGAGCAGGGGCTTCTGCACCACCACTTAGGCACAGGTACCCTCAGTGTGGGCTGTGGTTAGACTTGAGTGTCACACCACTGCCATCAGTGTCAGCCAGCTCTGCCCTGGAAGCAGCAGTGTGAAGATGGTGGCGCCCACTTGCACCAGGCCAGTGTTAAGTCTGTCCAGGTCCCATCTCACCAGGCTCTCAAGACCTTACAGGGGATGGATTATTATTACCCTTATTTGGCATGTAAAGAAGCTACTAACAATTCAATTGCACCTTTCCAAAGCATGCCAGAAAACGGGGGCTGGTCAGGTAATGGTGGTGCTGAGAGACCTTGGTGGGGAGGGACTCTTCTAACCAGGAATCCTAACCATGTACACCCACAGATGAGACACAGCGGTGGGCAAACTGTCACTGATTAAGGTTTGCTAGGAGCAGCTGGTGAGAATGGAGCATTCCTTGTCAACAACCGAGAGCACACGTGGCTCTGACGCACACCATATGCCAGGTCCTTCTTAAAAAGTAGCACAACAGGACTCCATAACCCTGAGATGGCTCCCACACTCAGCTACCTTTCAAGTGATCATGAAAGAGAAGTCCTGAGCTGAGAAAAAAGCCCGTGCTCAGCACGGGGCGGAGCGATGGAGAGTGTCTGCGGGAAGGCTGCGTGGTGTACTGTCCCGAGAGACGCTTTGGCTCCAGGCCAGCCAGCAGGACTAACTGACCATCAGGGCTAGGAACACAAGGCCAACAGCCCAGGAGTTTGAGAATTGAGAGGAACAAGGTTAGGCTTCACTCCCACGTGCCAGCATCCAGTTTTCTCATTTGGTCTGAGGGGAAAGCAGCCATGTGAGATGATGGCCTCACGCCGAGATTAAAAACAAACAAACAAAACGAGGTGACACGAGCCAGACATGGCGTCTTCCATGCCAGCACTCACAAGGCTGAGGCAGGAGGATTCCAAGTTTGAGACTATAAAAGCAAAACTTTGTGTCAAAAAGAAACAGGAAAAAAAAAAAAAACCAAGCGCTGGGAATTATCCAGGCATTCTCAGAATTCTGGATTGCCTCTGCCAGAGGTCAGTCCACAGAGAGGAGAAAAGACACAGAAGAGAGTGGGACACAGGGAACTTGATCCCCTGTGGGCTCCTAACTTCCCTCCACCTGCACCTAGGGCAGGTACATAGTGTGCTCAGTCTCGACTCCTGAATCCTAAAATACAGAGTGACACTGTCCATCTTTCAGAGTTGCTGCAAGCCCTAGCTGAGGTACAGGAAGCTCGTATAGGGCGTAGCATAATTCTTCTCTCCTGGGAGTAGTCTGCCCTGGGGAGATGCTGCCAGTGCTGTGCTGCTGGGCAGACGTGCTAGCGGCCTCAAGAGGCCAGGGATGCTGAGCACTGTGCCGTGCACACCACAGCCCCTGTATCCTCTGATGCTCTGCCCAAAAGTCAGTGCTAAGATTTGGAAATCCCAACCTGATATGTGTGGCAAGGACTCAGTAAATACAACCTTTAAAAGTATCTTTTCTGCTATAACAATAAGCCAGTCGCAGTTTCTTTATCTCAAGGATAACCATCATGTGTGAAGAAAATGATAAGAGATAAAAAGGCTTTACTCACTCTGCTTCTTGGAATACTGGGTAACAGTTGTGTTATTTTGGAGACAGGAAGAGTCAGTTGCTTGGTTGATTCTGGGGAATGCAGTACTTTTATTAAATAAATCACATAGCAGAGCACCAGAATGGTAGTATAGAAAAGCTGAAACATGAAAACAAAGGGTTGAAGGTAAGTTGTTTTGATACAGGCATGATTACAACAGGACTGTAAGATTATCTCTGAGGTAAACAGAACTGTCTTAATTAACTGCCCTTTTCAAAGAGCAGCACAGCACTCCACTCAGGCCCAGTTCCTCTGCGATACCTTTGTGCACAGGCTCCAACACTTCACTTGGTTGGAGAACATATTCACCATGGCAGACGGCCACAGGCTCAAATCCAACAACGTCAGGTACCCACCCAGCAGACTGTGGCTCCAGGTGTCCCCACTGTGCTGACAGACAGGCTTCTGCCATCATTTAGGGCCCAGTTTCCCATAAGCCGTGGAACTCATGCCATTTACGATTACAAAGCAGAACGGAGCTCCTGGCTCTCTCCTCCCCACCTAGAGCACTGGCAGGGTGACAGCTGCTTCAAGCTGCAGGAGGAAAAGGCGGGGTTGTGATAACGCCCACCTCACCCTCCACCCATCTGGGACAAAAGAATCGATTCTGGCAGAAGTGGGCCATCAAGCTTTTGTTTGAAGACTGGAAATGAGTATCCAAAAGGGCCCCTTGTCACAGGCTCCCTTCTGTCCTCCTTCCCTTCTGAGAACTGGGGCCACCAAGCCCCTCTTTCTACTTGCCTGCATCAAGGTAACTCCTGTCAAAAGCCGTGTGACAAGGAAAAAGAGGAGTCATGGTTTGGTAGGCCTCTCCTTTGCGCGCTACTCTCAACCACGCGTAAGGATGAAGCCTGCTGTCCTCCCTTAAAAGACAGGCAGTGTGGCCGGGAGCCACAGCAGCTAATACTATGTCCTCGGTGATAAATGTGCTTTTCCACCTCTCCTGATCCCCTGCTGAGCAGAGTTTGGGGGAACAGTAGCAGCAACCTGAAGGCACCACAGCCACAGGATCCTCCTACTGTCTCCATCAGGAGAAAGCCACACGATAAAAGTTACAACTTCAACTACAGGATTCAGTGGCTTATAGTTCACTTACATTGTTGTTAAATCATCACTATCTAACTCCTTAATATTTTTATCAGTTCAAAACAAACTATAATTAAGTACTGCTTATTCCTCCATCATTTAGCAACTAATCTCCTGTGTTGTGAGCCCGACAGTCACGGACATTAGATATCAGCTGAATCATATAATTGGCTTGACTACTTCTTTCACTTAGTATGTTTCAAGGTTCATCTTCATCTGTATCCATAGTGTATCAGTAGCTGTTTGGTCTCACAACTGGCCTCTGGCTGTTGTGGGACTCTGGAGACCAGGCTGCACTCAGGCTTGCACAACTTCTCCTCCTCTACCTCCAGAGTGCTGCGATTACAGGTAGGCCAGCATGCAAGGCAGCTCTTAGAACTGACTGACATTCCTTTATATGGACATACCAAATTTTGTTCATCCAATTCATTAGTTGATGGGCATTTGGAATATGTCTGTCTTTTCGCCACTGTCCATAGTGTTATGAACATTCTCTTTGGTGTATATACTTAAGAGTAGAAATGTTGGGTCATATGATAGCTCTGTTTAATTTTTTTTTTTTTTTTTTTTTTGGTTTTTCGAGACAGGGTTTCTCTGTGGCTTTGGAGGCTGTCCTGGAACTTGCTTGGTAGTCCAGGCTGGTCTCAAACTTACAGAGATCCGCCTGCCTCTGCCTCCCGAGTGCTGGGATTAAAGGCGTGCGCCACCAACGCCCGGCTTCTGTTTAATTTTTAGAGGCACTGTCATATAGCTTTTCATGGAGGCTGCATGATTTTATGTGTAGACCAAAAATGTACTGGTTTCAATTTCTCCACAACCCTGCCCTCATATGTTATTTTATACCTAACAAGAAAAAATAACCACCCTAGTAAGTGTGAAGTAATACCTCACTGTGGTTTTATTATTTGTTTATTTGTTTTTAGTTAGATTTTCTCTTTGTAGTCCTGGTTGTCATGGAACCCATAAGGTAGACCAGGTTGGCCTTGAACTCCCAGAGACCCACCTGTTTCTGCCTCCCCAGTGCTGGGTTTAAAGGTCAGGACAGGCCCTCACTATGGTTTTGATTTGCATTTCTCTAATAATTATTGATTGTAAGCATGTTTTCATGTGCTTGATGTCCATTTATTTTATATAGTCTTTAGGAAAATGTCTGTTCAAATTCTTTGCTCAGTTTTTAAGAGGGCTTATCTTTATTGTCGGGAATAAGTATTATTCTGAGGTGAGTTTTATGGGCAATTTAAAGAAGAACTTGGAGGCCAGTTTGACAAGGGAACTCTCATATACCACTTCATATGTCTTTTTGATGTCTGATAAATATCTGATCTTAGGCTACTTTAATTTCATTTATTTATTTAGGTTTTCGAGACAAGGTTTCTCTATGTATTCTTGAACTACAGGCACTGAGCTCACAGAAATCTGCCTGCCTCTGTCACTTGAGTACTGGGATTAAAGTTGCGCACCACCATGCCCAGGTTTATGCTTCATTTTTTTCAGATTTATTTATTTACTATGTATAGTGTTCTGCCTGCAGGGATACAACTATTACAGATGGCTGTGAGCCACCATGTGGTTTCTAGGAATTGAACCCGGGACCTCTGGAAGAGCACCGGTGCTCCTAACCTCTGAGCCGTCTCTCCAGCCTCAGGGCTCATTTTTAAAATAGTACTTTCACTCTAGCAATGTCTTCATTGCAGCTGGAACTATGGACTACACCTAAAACACACAATGGAGCCAAACTGCCAGCCCTGAAAACGAACTTGCTTGGACTTGAGTCATTCTCTCTGAATTATGTGAGATTTCAATCTAAGTTTAAAACACACTTGGCAGGGTTTCCTCCTATTCTGCAAACAACTGATTGAAACTCAAGGAAAATAATACGCATACAATTCGGTTCCCACCCCACCCCTTGGCTCCCCTGCCCCTACTCCTCCATAGGTCTAGTAGACAATCAAATCCAGTTTCATATGGACCCGCCCAGAGAATGTCTAAAAGAACTTTTGATGCTGGACAATTGGAAAGTGTATGGCCCTCCCTGGTCCCTAGGGACACAATGGTGCCCTGTGTGAAACAGGATGGATATAGCAGCTGGAGAAGTGGTGGCAAGCCAAAATTCTGGAGTTTCCAACTATCCTGAAAAGCATGAGTATTGTGAGCATAAAACACACGCCGGTGGGAACAAGAAGCGGAAAACAGAAATGTGGGTTATGTAAGGAGTAGAGAATGATTCTCACCTGAGCCACAGAGAAAATGAACAGGCCCCAGTGAGGCAGCCACAGCACAAGAAAGGCCGTCAGGACACTCCGGAGGATGACCGACATGCTCTCAGCAAGCACCTGCGCACAGAGGGAAAGGAGCCAGAGGATCACAGGGTAAATAAGGAAAGGCATAACACACACGGAATAACACACATAACACACACAGAATAACACACATAACACACACGGAATTCAGCATGGTGGCTATCCTGCTGCAGGGGATGGGGCGTGTTTAGACGGAAGCACCAATAGTAATGCTTTATCTCTTGGGATAAGTGGGCAGTTCATTCATCTTTAGCTTTATGCCGTAAGATATAATACATATATATGCTACTACGCATTAAATAATATATTTTAAAAGAGGAAAAGAAACCAATATTAGGATTCAACTAAACAAGATTATTTTTTAAAAATATGAACTATTTTATAGAGATCCTAAATTTTAAATTTCAATTCTAAATATTATCTTCCTTATTACAAAACCTGCTTTTCATTTATGATATAGAGGTAATCTGCACCCCCAGCCCGAACTGTGTGTGACCAATTCGTTCATACATGTATATGTATGTAAGCAGGTACATATGCACAAGGGGGCCAGTGATCACTGTCAGGTGTCTCCCTCTAATGCCCTCCACCTTATGTTTTGAGACAGGGTCTTTTTTTTTTTAAGATTTATTTATTATGTATACAGTGTTCTGCCTCTAGGTCAGAAGAGGACACCAGATCTCATTACAGATGGTTGTGAGCCACCATGTGGTTGCTGGGAATTGAACTCAGGACCTCTGGAAGAGGAGTCAGTGCTCTTAACCTCTGAGCCATCTCTCCAGCCCCGAGACAGGGTCTTTCACTGGACCTGGAGCTCAGTGATTGGCTAGGCTGGCTGGCCAACAGGACCCAGGAACCTTCTGTTTCTGCCTCCTGTAGTACTGGGATTAAAGGTGTGACTTGTAACATGGCTTCAGGGACAGAAACTCAGGTCCTCATTTCTTGTACAGCAAGCTTTTCACTGACTGAACTGTCTCCCTAGCACCTACTTGTTTTTGAGATAAAATCTTATAATGTAGCCCAAACTAGCCCTGAATACACCATCCTCCTGCCTCAGCCTCTGGAGCACTGGGATTATATGTGTCCACCATCATGACTCAATTGGCAGGAACAAACTTTAGCATAGCCCATCTGACAAATTTAAAATAATAAACAGCACACAACCAAAGGCTGGAAAAATGATTCAGTAGTTAAATGCACTGCCTCTTCTTCCAAAGGACCTGGGTTCAGTTCCCAGCACCCGTATGGTGACTCACAACTGTCTGTAGCTCCAGTTCCAGGAGATCTAACCCCCTCTTCTGTCCTCCAGAGGCACCAGGCACCCAGCTAGTACACAGACACACATGCAAGCAAAATACCCATATATTCCAGGCCTGCTGGCACACACCTTTAATCCCAGCCCTTAGAAGGTACAGGCAGGTGGATCTCTGTCAGTTCCTGGCCAGCCAGAGCTACACAGTGAGACCCTGTCCCAGAACAAACGTCAGTAATAACACCAAAACCTCACACTTTCCCTTACTGCTCACACTTCTTATTCACAACAGGTTCACTGACCTTGAGCTTGACAAACATGTGTGCTTGTGCCAAGACCCAGAAAGGCTCTCCCAGAAGTTCCACCACTGCCGAGAGACCAAAGAGTGCCACTCCAGCTCCGTAGTAGGGGACCACATTTGGATCAGGCACCTCAAGCAACTGCAACCAGACCCAGCCCAAGAGCAAGGACCAAAATACACCCAGGGGAACACTAGAGGAATAGAAAAGATGTTTTTAATACACAACCTCTGTCTTAAGTATAAAGATGCATTAAACTAGTAATGCTGCGTGAAAACAAGAGTCATCATGAAAACAATTTCCACAATATGAGGCTGTTAGCAGGGAATGCAGGCATTACCCACATGCCTGGCACCGTGACTTAGCCCTTGATCTCACTGACACTCCACAATGATCCTCAGCCATTATCCCACTTAGAAGGAAGCTGAGGCTGAAAGGAACTGGTAATTTGGCCAAGAACAGAGACAAGACCCAATCCCGACCTAACCCAAAGCCTACATCCCATGGTGTAGGAAATTTTCCAGAAAAAAAAACTGTTGCCTATGCTCAGAGTGGCTGACAGACATCATGCAGTCAGCTCTTGCACTCCAAATAATCAATAGTCCTCAGCATGGCACCCATTTCATGTGCTATCACAGTTAGCTGTCACTCTGCTAATAAAATGAACGCTTGCCGGTCCTTCTGACAGGCGCTGCTGTGAGGCGATCGAGTTGTCCACTGGGAAACGCCTCCTCCCAGCAGGGATCTAGCTGGAGAAGCCATTTTAGTTTTCAGATGACATACTTGGTCTACAGGAACATTCTAAAGAATTGAAGAAAAGTGTTTTTTAAAAATACTAAGTAGTTGCTAAAAGTTCAAAGGAAACTACAGGGCAGAAAGATTAGGAATAAAGAGTGGAGCAGGAAGCCAGGAACCCTGCCCTGAACACCTCCTTGCTACGGGACAGGAGACCACGTAAGTGTCATCTCCAACTCAGACACTCTCCCTTCCCGCTGTAAAGCTAGTCCCCAGGACCCAGTCTGGAGACAGTTAGCTTTCGGTGGGTTCTGTCACTTCACTATAACACTCCTGGCATGTGTGTTCTTAGAACTTGTCACCTGCTGAAGTCCAACTCACGTTAGCCACAGGAGGTTGAAGGTCTGACCCCAGTCTCTCTGGGCACCGCCACTCAGACAGGCTCTTCGGAAGGCCTCCCTGGCCAGGAAGATGGTCGTTGAGTAAAGCAGTGTTAGTCTACAAAGCAAATGTAGAAATGGGTGAGGCCTTCAGGCCTGTTCTAATGTTTCAGTGAAAGAACCTTTGAGATTCTTCTAGCAATAGGAACAAGAAAAGACAGTTGTCATAAACCACTGGTGGCCTGGTGGCCCAAACCTGTGATTCCAACTACATGGGAGGCTGAGCCTGGAAGACAGCAAGTTCAAGGCCTGCTGGACTACAGAATGAGTTCAAGACCAGCCTGAACAACTTAGTGAGATCCTACCTCAAAATAAAAGTGAAGAGGAGACTACAGACACGGCTCGGTGGCACAGCACTGCCTAGCATGTGTACAGGAGTGCAGAAAAGACAGAGCAAGCCCGGAAACCATGGTAGGGATGCAGAGCACAACGCCTCTGACAAGACTCCCATCGGATGGATGGATCCCCATGGAAACCAGTGAGGACCCAAACAAGGCATGCTTGACTGTGTGTGCTCACAGCTACATCCCAGACAGACAGACAGACAGACAGACAGCCTGCGCTCATGGCTGAGGGCAGAGGTGTGGTCCTGACCGTAAGGAGGAAAAGAGCAGCTCATCGCCCCCATAGCAAGGGGACCTTCTGGTGACACTGGAGACTCTGTGAGAGAAGCAGAGGTTCTACTCCAGGGAGGTGCTAAAAGAGTCTCAGGGAGACCAGCAAAGCAGGTAGCCAATAGAGGCTGCTGTAACCCCTAGGATTTGCCTGAGTAGCTCAGTCAGGTGGGTCAGTCTTCCTGCACCCAAAGAAAAGCAGCTGAGGTTTCCCTGCCTCTACAGCCAGGGGCCTGATGAGGTTGTCAAGGTGCATCCTACTCCCCAGTAGCCCAACCAGCATCGCAGGTGAGGAGCCAAAGCCACACCTTAACAGTGAGGAAGAGCAGGCAAAGACTGTCGAGGCAGACACCTGGCGATCTGGGGGGAGGATGCATGGGAGAAAATTCTGACCCCTCTTTCGTTCTGCTTTTTAAATGGTTTCTCAATGACTCCTCTCCCTTCACCACCCCTCGTGAGACTATGAACCATACCTAATACAAAGTTCCAGAAGACTGCTCTGACAATACCAAGTTTGAACACAGCCATTAGGCTCTTTGAAAAACATGGTAAATGTTTAGATGGTAAATACCAGGCATGAAATTCTGTCTCGAACATACTGTCTTGTTTATCAGGATATGAAGAAATGTCTGAGAGGATGAGCTATTCTCAGGACATTATTTCACTCGTTTTTTGTGTCATTTGTGAAGACAAAATAAGTGTGGGTGTCCTAGAGCAGAGAAGAAACAAGCTGAGCCTAAGACAAAACAAGTTCACTTTGCACAGAATCAACCACAAGGATTCGTGCTCTGGTCCCAGCTACCATATCTCAGCTCTGAAATCACTGAAGCCGAGACGGAGGTGGCTGGGTGTTCCAGCCCTGCAATTACGAGACACATCCTCACCAACTACAGAATCCCTGCTTCCTGTGTTGTGTCAGCAGGACAAGAACACTGGATTGATTATACCTGAGACGAGGTTTGCAATGAACTACTCCCACTCTTCTCCTGGGCTCTAAGAGCAGAGAAGCTAGAAGAGCTGGGGAGAAGTATGCATTTGGAGGCTGCTAATGGAAAACACTGCACGGGTCCATTAAACACAGCAGGGCCCGCTCATCCCCCACCCTGCACTTCTCTTCAGCCCACTGCTAAAACACTCTGTTACTGGGGAAAGCATACGATTCTAAATCTAAATCTGAGGGTGGCACATGGGTACAGCCTGAAAAAAAAGCACAACTGTGATAAGTGACAGGAATTGTGGACAGTGCCAGGGTACATTCCTTACCTGACATTCACTATGCCCACAATCTCCTTGGACAGGAAGCGAAGAATAAATGCGTTCAAGACAAAGGTTATTAATCGAAACAATACCTGTAAGAAAGTGCATTTGTGTTACGTTTGGGGTTACGATTGGCGTGTTGACGTCACTGAAATGAGGACTGAGAAGCTGTCCTTCCCCGTGTGATATGACGACACGCAGCAGCTCTGCTATGGAGACTCTTCTCTAAGATGCTCACTCACCTCACTGGCTTTCTGTGAGCTGTGTACCTCCTTAGAGCAGTGGGCAAAGAACCCGGGACGGCATTTGGAACTCTCCCTTACTTACTAATGAGAGAAGCCTGGGCAGACTGAGTCTTCAGGTTCTAAGTCAAGGAGATAGAGAGAGAACTGCTGTAGTGCTTCACATTATCCAGAACCCTAGCTAAAACCTTCTCCAGACATATCCAGCCTATAGCCAATGGGCCACTTGAGACCCAAGATAACTATGGATTCAGCCCAACACATCTTTGGATGACAAGGTCAAAAGACTGACTCCCAAATCCTCTTTAGAAACTGAACACACCGAAACAAGAGCCTGCAGAGTATAGTAGGCTCACTAGGAATCTGGGGTCTAATTTCTTTCTTCTCTGCCTGGCAATACCTGGGGATTCCAAAGACGTTTAATGTCTTTGAAATCTGATTTCCTTAGTAACACAGGAAACACTATGTTTATTGAATACTTGCCTCTTTCCAGAGAGGAGTTGATGCATCTTTTAAGTAACAATTGTAGTAATAAGATTAATGTAAAATGTGAGTGGGAAAACAGGCACACGTCCTAAGACTTTCAAATCTGTCCATTAAAGAAAACCATCTAAAAGCCAGGCTGGGCAGTGATGGTTGCAGACCTTTAATCTCAGAATTCAAAGTCAGCCTGGTGTACAAAGTGACTTCCAAGACAGCCAAGGCTACACAGAGAAACCATGTCCTGGAAAGCGAAGGAAGGAAGGAAGGAAGGAAGGAGGGAGGGAGGGAGGGGAGGGGAGGGGAGGGGAGGGGAGGGGAGGGAGGGGAGGGAAGGGGAGGGGAGGGGAGGGAAGCCACCTAAACAAAGAATCCTTCCAATGAGACATAGGAAAACAAGAAACTACAATTAAATGGGGCTCCCAAGCGGAGCTGCTGAGTAGGATGCGTGCAAGTCTAACTCGTGCTCTCTCCTCATCCCAGCTACAAATGACAAGTCACTCAGCGTTAGGCATGCTCAAGGTTACCCATGTGCACAGCTGCCTTTTTTGGCAGATTCAATCACTGTAGACCAGAGGACTACCATGGTCTGAAAATCTCCCGGCCATTAACACTGTTCCTAAAGAGACACCCATGCCAAAATTACCACCATGTTTATGGAGTCATAGATGATCTTTTCTATCTGACAGAAGCTCTGTAGCTTCTTAGAAACATGTGTGTTCATACACACAAGCCAAATTCTGCACTCACTGCTGGTAGCAGGGAACCAACTCACAGTCTTAGTGAAGTCCTCAGCTGAGGCCGCCTGTCACTTAGCTCTTAAATGCATACCTCATCTTCTAATTTTTACAAGGCTCAACTTTCTGTCAGATGAGGCTAAATATCTCATAAGGTTCATTACAAGACTAAAATAAGATTATAGAAGTGAAGACATCTTAATGTATAAATTAAAGGCAATAAAATGTACATTGTGATTAGCTCAGAACTAAGACTCACAAATTACATAATAAAATGTAGCTGCAACGCTACCATAAGTATCAGCATTATAACTTAAGGAAGCATGTATGACTGAACTAAAACAATCAAGAAATCTACATTTTATGGCTACTCTAAAAATCCACATATACAATTATAAAGGTCATCATTGTGTACAATAATATGTGCTGATTACAAATTGTACATTTAAAAAGTTACTATTGTACAAAACACTTAAGGTCTTAGGTCATATCAATATCTTCTAAGTGATCTGAATAAAAGTTTGCTCTAATAAAGTCGAATAAAGCTAATAAAGGTTTAAGGCCACCCAGTGGCCCTTATTAGCAACATATCCTCTATTTACTTTCGTAAAGGACTTTACATTTATAGAAGCTTTTACATTTGTTATTTATTTAACCCTTAAAAACAACCAAGCAGGCCAGCCATGGTGGCACAAACCTTTAATCCCAGCATTCACAAGGCAGAACTGGGCAAATCCCTTTGGAGTTTCAGACCTAGAGAATTCTAGTCCAACCAGGGCTAAACAATGAGACCCTGTCTCAAAAGCAAGACCGCAAAAGCCAGCCAGGGCTGGGAATGTAGCTCAGCGATAAAACTCTTGCTTAGAACCTGTGGGGTTCTGAAAGGCTCAACTCCCAACGCCAAACAGCAACCAGGCAAAGGCGGCAGAAACAAAACTCGTCATGAAAGGGTCTGCCTGGTATCAAACAGCAAACAAATGGGCCGGTTTAATGTTACAGTTAAGTCACTTGACCCCTACTCCTTTGTCTTCTATGGCCAGTTTCTTTTTCTGTGGAAAAATAAACACTATGTATAACGCACTGAGGTCACGCATACTGCGAAATAGGAAAACGAAGAACTAGACAGATGGAGTTAAACCAGGTGGGCAGTGCTCACTAAGCCCATACCCTGTGCAAAGTGCTTTTCTCTATGTGGTTACCTTGTTTCATCCCTACACTGCCATTTACGGACCTACCACACTAAGAAAGCAGCTAACACTGATAAGCACCATGCTTTGTGCCCGGGCGTAACAGGATTTCATCTAGTCTTCCTAATGACCCTGTGAGGTTGTATTACTGTTCTCATTCAAAATAGTGATGCATGTCTGTTACCCCAGCACTTTGTAAACAGAAGCAAGAGTATCAAGAATTCACGACCAGGCCGGGGGTGGGGGGGCTGGGGGGGTGGGGGGGGAGTGGCGCACGCCTTTAATCCCAGCACTCGGGAGGCAGAGGCGGGCGGATCTCTGTGAGTTCGAGGCCGGGCTGGACCGACAGCCTCAAAAACAATACAGAGAAACCCTGTCTCGAAAAACCAAAAAAAAAAAAAAAAAAAAAGACTTCAGTGAAGTTGGGTTGATAAACTGGAGAATAAGGCATCAAGAAAAATGAGAAACTTAGAAGAACTGACTTTTAGGGAGGAAAGAATCTTTAGACACTCTTTTGATAAGCGGTTCTCAAGCATTCCTAATGCAGCAATCCTTTAACACAGTTCCTCATAAAATTATTTTCGCTCCTACTTCATAGCTGTACCCTTGCTGCCGTTACGAATCATAACGTAAATGTTTTTGGAGGTAGAGGTTTGCCAAAGGGTTTGTTGTCTCATCATTTGTATATTTCTTGTGCTTTTTCTTTGTCTCTTTTTTCTGTTTGTTTTTATTTTATCTTCTCCCATTACTTTAAATGCCTATTTGTATGATAGTGTGTGTGCTTGTGTGTGTGTGTGTATTTTAAGTAAAAATTAATAGCCACAGATTGAGAACCGCTGATTTGGATGAACAGGCCAAGTGTCATCTGGGGAACACAAAAGTCAAAAAATGGCCTACCCAAGGACACACAAAAGACGCAGTTTTTTAAGCGCACTCTGGGATGCAGGTGCTATGGTGAAGTGTGCTTAATTCAGATGATCCCAAACAACACTTGCAACTGCTTTCTGAATTAGAAACTATGACCCTCATTCTGTGGACGAGGAGCTGAGGCCCCGGGGCTGACGTGATTTTCGTCCTGGGTCGTGCAGCGAGTCCTGCCTGAACCCGGATCCCCAAATCTCAGCTACGCCCTTTACGTGCGGACCAGCGTTGCAGGCAGGTGTCTGACAACCCAAGGTGGGACACACAGAGATGAACCCATTCAAGCATCAGCTTGCGGGGCACTGAGGAGCCTCTGCCTCCCCACTGCCAACACGGAAATGCAGTCTTGGGAAAGGAAACGGCTAAGTCCGTATGGTCTGCAAGGAAAGTCGGCCGTGCAGCCACGACTTCCCAACTCCCGGGCCCGGCGCCCCTCCCGCCGCGGGGGAGCGCGGGGGACCCAGCACAGCCCCCCCGGAGCTGGCGCAGCAGCAGAGTACCTGCAGCAGGAGACCTGAGGAGGCCAGCCGGGCTGCCTGGCCCAGCACCTCCTGGCTACCCATAGCCGCCACGCCACGGCTCGGAGGAGGAAGCGCGCCTGGCGCCCGCTCCGTCGCGGGGAGATGACGTCACTAGCAGCCTCGTTCCTGATTGGGCGCTTTGCCGGCAGTGGGCGGGGCACAAGGAGCTGCGCGTCCGAACGTCTTGTGAGGCTGCGCCTTAGCCGGTTCTTGTTTTTTGATTTTGGTGTGTTTTTTTTTTCCTTCGTTCCGTGTTGGCCTAGAACTTGCTGCGGTAATGTTGGGCTTCCTCGGGTGCACCCCCCCGGGGACCAGATGTTGTCTTTTGGTTTGTGTGTTGGTTTGATATTTGATTTTATTTATTTTTTTGAGATAGGGCCTCATTAGGTCGTTCTAGCTAGCCTGCAACCCGACGTGTAGACCAGGCTGGCCTCGAACTCAGTGATCCGCCTGCTTCTGCCTCCCCAGTACGGGGATTCCAGCTGTTATTTTGAAATAAACTCTCGCTGTGTAGCCGAGGCTGGCCTGGAATTCACTTACAGAGTCTGGGAAGGCCTTGAACTCCTGATCCGGTGACTGAGACTACAGGAGTAGACCGCCAAAACAAGCTGGCATCTTCTTTGTTGTGCTTTGCTTTTCTAATTAAATGTTTATTTTTATGTAGTGTAGGTGTGTGTGTGTCAAAGAACAACTCTTGGGAGTCAGTTATATCTACCTTTGCCTGGGTTCTGAGATCAAGCTCAGAGTGGCAAATTTACAAGGCAGGCACTTAACCTGCTGAGCCAATTTGCCAGCCTGTTCTCTGCCTCACTTCGTAGTACTGGGGATTGGACCTAGGGCTTCATGCGTGCAAGACAGGTGCTCTACCACAGAGATTACAGCCCAGCCCGATTCTTTTTATTTTTTGGATGAAAGCCGTTTCCTTTTATGAATGTTTCTTTCTTGCAAATAAATCAAATTCGATGGGCAGTCTTAGAAGATGGCATCATAGACTGAGAGTGCTTACTTAACATCCAGGGAAACTCTAGGTTCGGTCCCAGCACCGTATATTCTTACCCTGGTGGTGTATACCTGAAATCCAACACACACAGGGTGAAGGCTGGAGGATCAAAAGTTCAAGGTTATCCTTAGCCAGCCTGGGCTATAGAAGACCCTGTCCAAAAACAAATCGAAGAAAAACGAATGGTCTCAGAGGAACAGAGCTCTCAGCAGAGATGCAGAGAATCAGTAGTCAGATTCTGGCCATTGGCTCTCACACAAATCCATTCATAGCACCCTTCTCCCGGTTAGGATGGACAGGACTTCTCCCCATTTTACAGAGGAAGAGCTGAGAACAAAAAGACACAGTATTTTCTCTTTTTTTTCCAGATTTTTAAATTTTTAAATTAGAAACCAGCTTGTTTTACATGTCAATCCCAGTTCCCTCTCCCTCCCCTTCTCCCCTGCCCCCCACTGAACCCGTATCCCATCCCCTTTCTGCTCCCCAGGGAGGGTGAGGCCTTCCATGGGGAATCTTCAAAGTCTGTCATATCATTTGGAGCAGAACCTAGGCGCTTCCCTGTGTGTCTAGGCTGAGAGAGTATCCCTCTATGTGGAGTGGGCTCCCAACATCCACATATGCTAGGGATAAATACTGATCTACTACCAGAGGTCCCATTAAGACACAGCATTTTCATCTACGTAATTTTGTAGAAACCTTCCCAAAGCTCTGATACTTGGGCCCAGTTGTGAGGAAGAAAGCAAGCCTTGTTCAATTCTGCACAGCATAGGCCTGGGCACAATGGATCAAAGAGCAGACTAGAAGTGCTTGTATACATTTTTTTTTCACAAAGTCCCCAACATACACGATCATTTTTTTTCTAACCTCTAAAGCTTTCCTTGATCTCAATCAACTTCTTTTCGCCTTTTGCATCATTCACTGTCTTTATCAGTACATTTTAGACCCCTCCCCCAATTTGGGGCCCTTAACCACAACACTCGGGAGGCAACTCTTGTCTTTGTGGGTTTGAGGCTAGCCGGGTCTACATAGCAAGTTCCAGACCAGACAGGATGACATAATGAGATTCTGTCTCAAAACAAACGAACAAATGAACACCTGGAACCCTTACTGGTCCTCGAAGAGGCCCCGTGAGGTTCATCTTTGTTTCTTTCTCCTTCTCTGCCTAAATCACTTTCCTGACAGTGCTTTTTGCCTTCCTGGGGCCCCAATCCTGACTTCTAACTGCCCGTAGTCAGTGCTTGCTGTGGACTAGATGTCCGTGTCTCCTCAAAACTCATATAATGACAGACCTGAATGTGGTGGCATTAGGAGAGCACTTGGGAAGTAATTAGGTCATCACGATGTAACCTTTATGATGCAATCGGTGGCCATATAAAGAGGGCATTGCCTATCATGTGCAGACATGTGGTTTGACTCTCAGCACCTAAAAAGACATATTTGAAGAGATGGTTTCTCTGTTCATTGTGAGAGAATACAGCAGGAAGGTGGCATCTACGGACCAGGAAGAGTCCCCTCACCAGAACCAAGGCTCCAGGAATGGAGAAATAAATTTCTGCAGCCCAATATGACTGCGCCTTAAAGCACTTTGTACTCTTGCATAGATCTTTGTGTGGCCTGTTTTACAGTGGAGAGATGAAAACGTGTATCTCTATCTAACTAGCCTGTGAGCTTCAATCAGACAGGAGTCAGCCCAGCAGGATTTGCCTCCTACGGTACTGACAGAGAACGTTCCTACACTCTCATAAATGCCTCGTGGAACACAACTGAACTCAGAAGATGAGCTGAGCTCTGTTGAGTGTTGAGAGTCTGAACATGAGGTTTGGACCATCAGACAGACTTCTCCTTGAATCCTCATTCTGCCTCTCACTAATCGGGTGGCCCTCTATGAGACGATTGTTCTTTTTTTTTTTTTTTTTTTTTTTTTTTGGTTTTTCGAGACTGGGTTTCTCTGTGGCTTTGGAGGCTGTCCTGGAACTCGCTTTGTAGACCAGGCTGGCCTCGAACTCACAGAGATCCACCTGCCTCTGCCTCCCGAGTGCTGGGATTAAAGGCGTGTGCCACCAACGCCCGGCTGAGACAATTGTTCTAAATGGAGATATCAGGATTAGGTTTATAGCTCAGTAGTACAGTGACAGCTTGTGTGAAGGCCTGGATCTATGATACTGACCTGGGTATGGATGCAGACTTCAATATAGATATCATATGTCCTGTTAAGGTAGGTGTAAGAGTTTTAGCAGGCAAGGTTGGCCCACAAGGAGCTTAAATTATACTGGGAGACCTCCCCCCAAAAAAATCCGGAGAAAAAAAAGTCATAAAATCCCAAATAGGAGCCGGGCGTTGGTGGCGCACACCTTTAATCCCAGCACTTGGGAGGCAGAGGCAGGCGGATCTCCGTGAGTTCGAGGCCAGCCTGGTCTACAAGAGCTAGTTCCAGGACAGCCTCCAAAGCCACGGAGAAACCCTGTCTCGAAAAAAAAAACAAAAAAAAAACAAACAAACAAAAAAATCCCAAATAGGAATCCATCACAAGAGAGTAAAGCAGACTGCTTGAGAATCCAGACTACAAACAGTGGTCACCACGGGAGCTGTCTTCCTTGGGTTTCCTTCCTACCACTCGCTTCTGTGCCAGGCGACCTCTCTGCCAGGGAAAGCTGATCTGAGCCTCCAATTTCATTACTAAACTGGTGGGAGGTGCCAGGGCTGGTGCTAAGCCAGTTCGACTTCCAGGGCAGTGGGGCAGGATGGGAGGCTGCCGGTGCGCGTAGGGCAGGGTAAAGGCTATGCCAAGCCAAGCCCTGGGCCTCAGCTGAGTGTAGGCACCAGGGTAAGGCATGTTCCCACATAACAGCCACTAGATGGCACGGCTTGCAGGGCAAGGGGCCCTAGCCAAAGGCTTCCCGCAGAAACCCTCAAAAGGGCTCCTCCTTGAAACAGAGCCTCGGCACTCTGTGCGGCGCCTCACTTGAAAGTCCCAGGGCGTGAGAAGGCTGCTGTGATCAACACAGTCCACACTGCCAGGTCTGCAAAGCAGTGTGCGGGGTGCTGTGTTCCCATGACCGCACTGAGCTCTTCTAGCAGCCCAACAAAGACCATCGTCCCCTCCGTTTTACAGACCAGGAAACAGGCAAAGGTAAGGGACGGGTTTGAGGAGTGGTGATTCGAAATGCTTGGAAGTGAAGTGGGCAGCGTGGTTGTCAGTCCCACAATCAAGATCACGCCAGAGGGTTGACGCATTTGTCACTTCTGATCCCTAGGCTCCGTCCACCTCAGCAGCTGTGAAGAGTTCTCGAATCTGCATTGTTTTGTTTGTTCTGTTTTTTGTGATGTTTGTTTGTCTGTTTTGCCTTTGGCACAGAGTCTTACTCTGTAGCTCAGGCTGGCCTGGAAATTACTACATTACCTTGGTTGGTTATGATGCACTGGACAAAACTCTGGAAAGTACTGCCTGAGGGTGGGTCTCTAGGCACCTTGAGGAATCAGTCTGCTCCAGTGGGCTGAAGCAGCTGTCTGTCCAGAGTAAATAAAGCAAATCCTGAGATCTGTCCTGGGCTTGTTAAACCCTCCAATAGGTCATGCTCCCAGGGCTAGTGGTCAGAGCATCAACACCTACAGACAGTGCCTAAATAAGAGTCTTGGAGAACATCTATGCTTGGAATTATGCACACAACAGTCCCTGAACCCCAGGCCTTCTAGGAGTGGTGTGGGAAGCTTGGGAGGCAGCCACAAAACCCTGGTTTTGCCGGGCTCCTCTGAGCATTGATTTGTGCAGAGCAGCCTGCAATACCACGATGTCAAGACGGCACATTCCGGATTCAGTGCTCTGAGGTGGCCACTGGAAAGGCACAAGAGGGAATGAGCCACTGTTAATGCCTTCTCCGAGTTCGGGGCGAAGAACACAGAGCGAGAGCAGGCAGACTGAGGTGCTAAAAAGTTGCAAGGGAAACAAACACAGAGATGGGAGTGGTGGAGAGATGTTTCTGGCTGAAGCACCCAGGAGTATTCCTTTCAGGGGGTGTTTTTGAGGGATTAGAGGGACTGATCAAACAGCAAGCAGTCAGTGAAGCCCAAAGGAGGGCACTTGCTGAGCCTGTGGGTGGACCCAGAAGTT